ATTTATATATATAGAATTTGTTTTTCTCGAATTTCCAAAAAAAAAAATAACGCTAAAATCGCAACGAAAGAAGCAGACAAAAACTAGTAGACTGTTTGCTCGAAATAAAAAAAGAAAAATAGAAAGATGGTATCAAATTCCGATGAACTAGTTTTTGCTCAGGCTGTTCCATCATTTTGCAAAACCAACCATCGAACTCTAGAATTTGCATGGGAATCAAACGGGCACCTCCCCGTTTTCATGCATAATTCTTAAAACATTAAAGATGTAAAAAGATGTTACCAAAGTGCTACAGATTTGTGTTGGTAAAATTTTCCAAATTTTATTCTAAATGAATCGTATAAAGTACACGCATGGGTCGATTGAATTTACCTTGACCGTATAAAGGTTAACTTATATTGTATTCTAATAGAAGAAAAGACCAATTTCATATGAAGATTGGATGGTACAAAGCAAAGAAATTATAATAATCGTTAGGTATCAAGAGGTCAAGCACGTGGCCTCAAATGCTTAATTGAATGTAAAGAGGTGTTACGTCAATTCGACGTTCTTTGAAAATTATTAACAAGGTAATTAAAATTGATTAAACTAATCCAATTGATTCATTAATAAATTCTCTTAGATATGTTTACTATCAGCGCTAACATAAATCAATGGAAAAAAAAAAAGATAGCAAAGAATTAATCGTTTTTGCGAAGAAAGTAATCGATAATTAAAATAAGCATTTGCGGATAAAATAAAAGTGTAGAGGGTGACCTATTTTAATAAATGAAATTATGTTGGATAGATCAAAATGTTTATAAAGTTCGATAGATGTATGTACACGTAAAAAAAAACTTCAGGGTCAACTTCTTTTTCTTAAATGGAATCGTACAATCTATTTTTTTTCTCCTTTTAATTAGTGTCAATCGATTCTACGCATTAAAGGATGAAGGCTATGTATTTAAACATCGATTTCTTCTATAATGTTCCATTACTTATCCTTTCTCAAGAGTAACAACTTTTGAATTGATTTTTTAATAGGAATTCATAAAAGATGGTTAACACCGAGAACAATTACCATTTTTCTTTCGTGTGCAAGTGACTGAAACAATGTGTTTTTCCTCATTAATTCACTTATACAGACATACAACTTTGTATCTTGTTCTTAATTTATTGGTTTTTAATATGAATAACCGGACGGTACATCGACACGAACGCATCGGCATCGTGCCATTGTTTAGAATGGTATTTTCCAAGCTTTTACGTCAGTGAATGCAAAATCAGGTAAACTGAGGTCACCAAGCGTTAACAAAACATCTGTTGCAAGTCTTATTTTGCTTTTTCCATCACTAGCCTTCCATCGTCTTCGATCATATTCTTTGATTATAATTAGGTATATTATTTGTGAATCCTTCCGGATGCTTTTTATTACGTCAAGCGCGAAGAACGAGCATACGACTACTTTCGATACTTTCGAATGGTATCAAGAATTTTTTTAAATATGCAAAAAGCATAAGAAAAAGTTATTTATAATTCTTTTTACATGCATTGCTTTACTTTACATTTGTCAAATAAATTTTTATTTGTTTTTCACAAGAACTCGAACGATCGTAGAAAATGGGGACCATTTCCGGTGACAATTCCAAAAGAAAGGTGTAATATCGTGAAAATTAGAGTCGTGTTTCGTTTGGGCCGGTGTTAAATTGTTGCAATCGCTCTAATGACGGTCGTAAGATGAGAATTGTTATTGTCCCGCTGTCGATTCAGATGACAAAAATGCTGTCTAGCAAAAAATGTCAAATGGCATTGCAAAATATACAAGTAACGAAGAAATCTAGGCTAATCAAGTAAATTTTTAGCCGACACAAATCGAAAATCGACATTACATTTTATAAATATTTATGGATTTAAAAATAGTCGAGCTTAGCATACAATACATTTATGAACGGCACGTGGAAATTACTACTTACGACTGATATAAAACAATTACATTCTACGATTACGTATAAATTATTCGTAATTATTGTCAACTTTAGAATCGACCTCGATTAAATTGATATACAATAATTACACCTTTTCTATTTTATAGAATCGTTTATGTAACATTAAATTTTGAATAACAACCAGAAAGATCCTTATGAATTTTCAGTAAATTAATTGAATTGTTTTTGTTTTGAAACTAATCTTGAATGACGATAATCGGGAAATACTTCCTGATGTCGGATACAACGTCAATGGGGAAAAAACGAAGTGTCTGAAAAATTATACAAATGCAAAATCCATGAATTTCTGTACCGTGTCATTAAGTGCATCCGTGTATAATAACTTGATACATATTAAAATGAATAATACGGTAGTATTTCCCTGGGTATTATCGTTCAGAACCTCGGAATATTTCTGCATACTTCGATGAATTCCAACGACCAAACTTATTTAATAAATTGTAAGTTAATTAACAATATAGATCGAATTGTAAATTTATTCTTCTCGGATTTCTATACCTCTGAAAAATGACTTCGTATCGTTGGTAAATCATCTGATAAGTAAATAAAACAGACAAGCTGATCGATGTCATTTAGACTTACTATAAATTACAAATCATAAAAAACACTGTTGCAGACGTCGGGTCGGTAATAATACATGGAAATTTGTAATTACATTATTTTATCAGCTATGCTGCGTAAATGCATATACTTTCCCGTGCAAGTTATTTGAATTTGATTACCAATTAACACAGGAAAAAAATATCTTTCCTCTGGTTTTTGTTTCTTCTTTCTTTTACTCGGTCGATTAAGGACATTCAGGATTTCTCAAATTGCAAACCACATTGTCATCGACGTAAAATTAAATATGTCGAACATACGGATAAAGAGAATATTATTTCTCAAGATCGTATGTTATGAAATGTCGAAGTTAGTAGTATTTTTTTAAAATAAGATAAAACCAATAAAAAAAAAACAAATTCAATCATGTGTTTATTCTTTGGAAAACGTAATTTTTCACTGTAAGTGTTAAAAAGCGTGAAATTCTGCGGATGTGGCACCATTCGATATAAAATCTATTTTATGTGAGATTTGAGAATAGCAATGAAGGATCATCCGGGGTTAATCGAGTAACGTTTTAGTATTTCAATTTTCTCTCTAATGAGTACAGTGTCCTTCACATTATTTCACCTGAATATCTTTGTTCAAGATAATTCTTTTTCTATTTGCTTCCATGCTTCTATATAAAATAACCTGACTAAATTTTCTACAAATTTTCAACCTTTTTACTGCGTGAAAATTTATTTGTATACAGCTTCATTTCTAAGAAGAATAACTTTTGATATTCAGAGATTAAGACTTTAAGATTGTACATAGGTGACAAAGTTTGATTTACTATCATTACTTATAATAGCCGGATTTTCTAATGCATCGTAATGATTCTTCGAATGCATTGCAAAATCTTCTGAATCTTGTTTAAAATAGTTACAATGTAATGTTAGGGGCGTGAAAAAAAACGTGGAATAAATTAGAAACAGGTATTTATGAATAATCAACAGGTGTTTGCGATAAGAACAGTTCTTCAATTTATTCAATTCTATAAATTATACATGAACAGTGTATTGCTATAATTTCGTTTGGAGTAACAATTTGAGTAGACTATGTTTTGTTAGTTGCACGTTGGATGTGTTAGATTAGAGAGTATATTTGCTCCGATTCTGCGACATGGTATCACCTACTTTGCTTCCGTATTGGAAAACATCAATTACTTACCACGTGGGAAAATATTTCAAAAGTCCTAGGAATGTCTACGAGATACATGAGGTTCATTCGAAAGATGGTACATTACAGACGGTGTCACGTGTTTGAAATTCATCTTCTGTATAAATTAGTTCTGTTGATAACGAGTACACGATTGACTTCTAATTGCAATGGTCAATAATTGCATACGAGCCAACAATGGCCTTTGAAACATTCATAATGATATTCGCTACACTTTCTTTCGTTGCGATTCAAGTAAACAGGAATCCGCGCTTAAATCAAAATTTTCAAGTACATCGCAGAATTTTCGAACTTTGATACTGACGCTATATTAAATATTTGAATAATGCGCGTTTTTAACATATACAGCACGCGGCGCGGCGGCTGCGAAGATCAATATTAATCGATGAATAATATAAACACGAGCCAGAAAATCACTGGTCGAGGACGAACTATGCCGTTGGCAATAATGCAACGCGTTCATATCTTATTTTAGCGGTTCCTTCTAGTTAGCTGGTTTTTCTTTTTCCGCTTTAACAATCGCTCGTTTAGGAAAGAATGTAACTGGGCCTTTCTAAATTCTGTCCGCACAGTTTCTTCTGTTTTTATGAACCGCATTTACCATTATGGTTGGTCGGATTAATTTTGACCTCAGCGATAGGATCTCATAAAAACATGTTTGAGAAAGTTTGTTTTGTCGAAATTTCACGGTTAAGAGGTAAAAAAGTTTTGGTTTAACATAATAAGCTGAAAAATTTAGTTTGAATTGCATTTTAGCAGTTAAATTTTTAACGACGCGCCATCTTTTGAATGGAGGGAAGAGAACAAACTCTGCAACATATTTATCAACTACCAAATGCAAGCGAATTTGTTTTTAACCAACGGCAAAAAGTAATTAGCCATTGCGAGAAGGAAAAGTTAACGATCATTACCTATGAGGTTTTATTATATGCTTGCCAAAGTCTTTCAATCTTTTTCTCGAATAATTTACAATGTCGTTGAAGTTTTTACTCGTTCGGCTAAAAGGTTTCGACTGAAATGATTATTATGTCATCGTTCCTTTTCCTGTTTGTTTCGTTTCTAGTCTGTGTAACGTAATGTAGAATTTTGAAAGATAAGCGGGTAAAAAGCATGTGATTCTCTAATTATGTATTATTGCTATTCCTTTCGCAATTACAAAGAGATATATTCGAATTTATATTTGAATTTTTGTTGGCCATACTGTGCGCTGTTTCGATATCAGGCTTCTCAACAGAAAAAACTTAATGGTTGCAGATAATTTCATAGAATTTGTTATTGTTTGAGAATTACTCGTGTTGAGTTAATTTTCAAGGCGATAATAAATAACAGTATTATTAGAAAATGGTTAAATTAACGCCAGATTTAATACAGCAGTCTATGCAATACATTAATCCTGTAAAGGATCGTGAGTTGGATCTCAGAGGTTTGTAAATAAAGTATACTGATAGAATATAACCTCAGCATTACTGTTCATTTCTCAATTATTCATTATTTCCATTGCAGGATATAAAATACCTACAATAGAAAACTTGGGTGCAACATTGGTTAGTATTATTACTAATAATGAGTGTGTTTAAGTCTTTTGTTTTAATGTTGCTCTTTATTTGAATGATTTCTTAATGATTGTTTTCAGGATCAGTTTGATACTATTGACTTCTCTGATAATGATATTAGAAAATTAGATGGATTTCCTCTTTTAAAACGAATCAAAACCCTCTTCTTCAACAATAATCGCATTGTTAGAATCGGCGAGGGTTTGGAGCACTGTATACCAAATTTGGAAACCCTTATGCTAACTGGAAACATGATTCAAGAGCTTGGTGATCTGGAGCCACTGACACAACTAAAAAATTTGACAAATCTTTGTTTGCTTCAAAATCCAGTTTCTGCAAAACCTCAATACAGACAGTACGTTGTATATAGGTTTCCACAATTGAGGCTTCTAGATTTCCGAAAAATCAAAATGAAAGAAAGAGAAGCTGCAGTTGCTTACTTCAGAAGTAAAAGAGGAAAGGAAATGGTTCGTGAAATAGCTAAAAAGGTTAAAACTCAGAGTTCTGGTGCATCTACAGATAAACCACTAACAACTCCAGAAGAACGTAATAAAATTAGAGAAGCTATTACAAATGCTACTTCTCTTGAAGAAGTGCAACGTCTTAGTAAATTACTTCAAGCTGGGCACATGCCTAGTGAAGAAAGATTGCAAAATGGTACATGATCTGTACATAATTATTATATTTGCAAGTCTGAGCAAGTAATGTATTTTATCTTACCGATTGTTTAAAATATATTATTCTTATCATTTTAGGAAATACAATGCCTGAGGCAATGGAAGAAGAGGATGATTAAATATTTTATACATTATTTGAAAACATAGGTTAAAAAAGAATAATCTTTTTTATTTCTGTAAGTATTTGGTTAGTACCATAATTGGGATTAAAAGCAGTTGTTAAGCTAATAAGAAATTATATGCTACACAAATGCAATTTCATTTGAAGATGACTTATATTTGTAAAAATAAAGCCATTTAATTACCTAATTGGCCTGAAGCGATTTTGTAAACTTATGTTACCTGATAATAATTTTTCAAACTATTTTTAATGTACATGTATATTTTTTTCAGTGGCAGTTCAATAAATTACTTATTCAAAAACGAGTAACCGTTTTCCTATAAACAGGGTGTTTTACTTAATGTTAATTTTTTATTTCAGTTATATTCATATACTGAAATTGTACTTTTAATGCAAAATAAGTACTTTTTATACACTGTATATGTATGCACGTATGCAAGTTGATTCGCATACAATCTGGTATCTATAGTCATTGACACGAGTTACGTAAGATACAGCCTCTAGATGTCAGCATCTCAGAATTAAGTATACATTTTTAGCTGTACATTGTTTCTTGATTTTTCAAATCACTGGAGTAGAAATGGGTAATACAATATACACCTGGGCTCATCCAGGTCCATATCCAGATACTGATGGAACGCCAACATTTGATCCACTGCTCGGATTTCCACATGGTCGTAAAAAGAGGGGCAAGTATTTCAGTCGGACCTAACCTTCAATTAATTTACTTGAGCCTCCGATGTACTATATTTATTTAAACAATATGCTATATTCATTTTTTATAACGACTTACACAATATGTTTGGTACCCCACAGTATTATGTCATAATCGTTTTGTTTTAGTATTACGTTATTTCTATTGTTTTCGTATTATAAATACTTCGATTAATGACATAACTATGAAATCGTTATACATTTCTTATGATATATGAATTAATAAATTATTTGACCTTAAGCAATTATTTATTTTACGTGTATATTTTATAATTAGATTAAATATTTTCAGTAATTCAGCTATGATACATTTTAATCAGCTGATTTTTTACTTTACAGTTATGAAAGTAACAGAGCAAGAATTGATGGCAGCTAAAGTTCCAATGAGACTAAGAGATTATTGTGCTCATCACTATTTGGAATACATGGAATGTATGGGAGTTCATTTCCCATTTTTTCTTAATTGTGAGAAATATTACCACAAGCATATGCATTGCGAGTATGAAGAGTAAGTTTTTATTCACATTTATATAAATATATTTAGTATAAGTATTGGCATATTATAATTGCAATAAATGTATGTTGCAGTTATGTCTTGAGGTTGAAAGAATATGAAAGAGAACGTAGATTACTTGTTAGACACAAGAAGAAGCAGGAAGCTATACAAGCAGCAGCTGCTTAGTTCCCAACTCTGTGCATGGGTTGTTTCATTTTAGGATATATTATATATATATATGCAAAAAATTCAGTTTTTTGTCTGTGTAAATAAACATAATAAAACATTTCAGTGGTGTAAATCAGTGAAAATTGTAAATATTATCATCACTGTTATTATCACCATTGTTGGTATCATTATTGTTATATACTTTTTTTTTATTACAAGGTACACAATTTATTTCTATTTATTTGTAATATCTCCTAAATCTTTGCAGTTAAGTTGTACAAATAGTACCGCACCTACAAAATACACTAATCAGAACGATTCGACGTAAAAGGAATCATGCATTACTACAGGATGTCTATAAGTGTTCAATTTAATCTTTGGTCAAAGCTCCAGGATGTTCCTCCCATGAAACACACAAAAAGACTGTATATGTCGTTTGTTTTTTTAAATGCAATCCAAAGACAGGTTCTCGAGCATACGAGTAACTTAATATTTATTATTTGTCATTACAAAAGAAGAAAGAAAAATAAGAAGGAATTACATATTTACAAGAGGGCTTGCTTAATAAATTACAACCATGGGATCAGGTTCAACGAAATAAATTCCTAACAAAATAACCGAATAGCTAATCGAGGCAGCTTCTTCCCCTCTGCGTATCCTTGGAATGAACATCTCTGTTCATCCCTTTAGGAAGGGGTGTATCGAGAAGATCGATAAGGTAGAAAGTGCCTGTACTCTGTAAGCATCCAGCTGTTAGAGCTTCTCACGTGTCTACGCGGGATTGCCCCTTATGGTTAGCGTCCCGTCAAGCTTCACGAGCAACCGGGTGAGTGTTGTTTAACTCCCGACCAGTACGGTTGCGTGGAGCTTAGGCTTCCCTTAGTTAAAAGGAAGTGTAGGAATACCATCCGGCTTGTTTGTCTATATTTTTTGCGTGTAAAGATAGGTTCTAGGTTAGTCTCTTCCAAAACCAAAAGCAAGTGGTGGGGGTGTCTCCTCCTTACCCTTAACTAAGAGAAGCCTACGCTGCACCCCAGTGTACCTACATACATAGTTCTCGAAGATGTTCAGCGAGCAGTGACTTGTCTCTCCCGTCGCTTATCAAACACACCATGTTTTCGTCGATAATTTTGCAGAAACGTGTTTCAAGAGTCACGGTTTGATTTGGTTCAACATTCGCGTAGCTATTGAATGTTTACCTTATCGCATTGCGGTCCCGACACCGGGAGAGACAAGAGCTCGCGACGTCTTTCGCAAACAGTTCACGTACGACAAAGCAAAGCTCTCGGTTAACGAAGTCGGATACATTCCCTCAACAAGTTGCTTTACCAACTGGTAAGAGGAATTTCTTTAGTTTTGAAAGCGTATGCAGTGTGTGTATGTGCCTGTATGTACACATGTGCGTATATTTGCGTATATTTGCTTTCATTTCGTTAATACGTTGACACTATCATTATTAACGTTACGATAATAGTTCGACTGTCATAGAATTCGGCAGTGATCAGTGTTACAGATATAATTTAATAAAATAAAGGAAAGGAAAACCATTTTGAATACCATATTAAAATTACACTAATTATTCGACGTAGCAATCCATTCGGTCAACGTGTTAACGAATCGGGGGTGCAACGACGCGAATTTAGCCTGCTTATGATTTATCGTTTAAGGGATTACTTTAAACGGTACATGGTATTAAGAAACGTATAAATAATTGTAAATAGAAAAAAGATTGAGCTTAAACGTTCGTTAAATGAGTCATCTTGGCCAACGTTTTATCGTTAGATTACGCGATTCCTTTCTTACAGCTTTGATTCCTTGTTTTTTTTTTTTTTTATCGTTTACTGTTCGTTTATATATTTTTTGGCAAGAAACGCGTAATCATTTCGAAATTCGCGGTACTTTAAATAGATCCGCGGGTACGATATCATCCCTGTGTACCAGTATTACCCCTATATTTACAGTAAGCTTAATTATGAACACTTGGAATACAAAAGGAGTAACTTAATTAACGACACCAGGGACCGATCACATTACAATATTACAGTAAGTAATAAGACGGTCTGATCACAACGGACGATACTACTTGACAGAGGCCGTCTACTTATACTACTTGAAGTGATTTAATATAAAAATTGTTCGAGTTGTTCGCGAGACCTGAGATGATTGATAATAAGGATCTATTATTAATTCAATTCACTTCGAATATCGTATGAAATTTGGCATTGGTGTTCGTTAATGTTTTTCCTTCTATTCGCCCTTTATTTGTTTCCTTGTTGTGACCGTGTTGTACGCTCTTCGGTAGAAATCAGAGAAGAGGACGAAGAAGATGGTCGAGTGAAGAAGAAGAAGAGCTGCTATCAGTTTTGGGTAGCCACAGTCGAAGACCAAGGCCTGCGTGCTGTGTACGAACACCAGGAAGAACTGCACCTGGAAATGAAACGAAAGTAAGTAGATTGAGCTGCGCTGTTCCCGGTTAACGGTGAGTGGAATTTTATAATTCATTCGTTTGCTGAAAAATTTTATCGTAAATTCGTTTACAATTCAGCGGTACTGTAGAAACGTCTATACTACCTAACAATTTTTTTTTCTTTATATCATTACTAAAACTTTTTTTGAAATGTCGTGGTAGTTTGGAAACGCTTATACCATCGATCGCTGGAAAATTTCGTCGTTAAGTATCTTGAAATTGAATGGTATCGGAGGTGGTGATATGTAGCTTAGAAACAGTTCGTGCCTTTCTCCTCGCATGAAAAGTGCAAAGTGTCGCAAGTCGAATTGTGCCACGAGGATACGCGAGTTTACTCGCAGCTACCCGACGAATTAATGGACTTACACGTTATTTAACGCGGTGCAAACAGCGCGAGGAATAATCGACAGCGTGTTGCATACTTCTTCGTGCCCCTCGTTTGCAAATGCGCTGATGCAATAACAGTGTCCTTTGAAATCGATTAATACATATAGAAAGTAAAACTACCACGTAATTATAAAACCTATAATTTTGCCGATCACGGTACAAAGTAGTTAACGCCAGTTAGAAACGTCGGTCGTTCAATTATTATTTTTTTTTTTTTCATTTTTTTAATCAAGTAAAAGGAATTTCAATCAAGGACGATGATTAAATTCTTCGTAAAGATATTTGTCGTGGCATTTGGAGAAGACGTCAGCTATCTTGATGTCTATCTCCAAGTTCCTAAGGAGGTGCATATAAATTAGCGACTTGCACGTTGATTTGCTGGGGTACGAGTTGATTGATGGTGGGGAGATAGACTGTCTGTAGCTACCGGTATCGCATTGATTAATGTAGCGGGGCTCATTAAGTTGCGGGTCTGTCTACAAGATGCCCTGAACATTTAGAAAAAAAATATATTAAGGGCTAAAGATAGTACAAGTACTGTTCATAAATCCGTTGAAGTCAAACTGAGTTTGCTAGAAGTTAATAGAAGGGTTAAATCATTTTCCTGGTAAACGTCATTTGGATAGGTTGCGGTAAGAGATTAAGCCGGATAGAGGTAGGCATATAGGTGAGGCTTCGTAGGCATGCAGCCGGTTCATGGTAGCTCGATACCGACGATGGTGATGGCGATGGTGGTGGTACAGTGGTACATGGCATATCGGAATGCCAAATTGTTGCGCCACCGTAGTCGGTCGAGTCTGGCCAAAGCAAGTCAGCCTGTAGTTGCCCAACGTTGTACTTTTCACTTTCCCTCACTTCTACCACACGTGAAATTTTGTCCAGCAGACTTGCACTGTTGGCCCAGAATCCGCGACAGGCCACGAACTCGATCTTCTCGATTCTTCTGGCTTCTTCGTACGCGTCCTTGCGAGAAAACGAGTATCATATCGTGCCTCTTCTGGTCACTCATCTTCCTCTCGATATTAGCCAACAGTGATTCAAATCTCGATGGACGATTTTTTCAACTGGATAACGAACGTCACGGTGGACGCTAATGGTTATTTGATGATCTTCGTTGTAACATTTTACTTAGCTATTGAAAGTTCTTGAAAGTATGAAATTGTTGAGTATCGATCGATCTCGAAATGAAATTACCTTCCCTTCATACTTTAGAGATTGGGAAAGGTTTCGCCAGGTTTGAGTAACTTTTATTTGAGTAATTGCTAGCTCTGACACCTTCGTACGAGCAACATCGTACCGAATATAATTTCAAGTTTCTTCCAACGAACCATTGCGATATAACCATTGACCCAAGTTTCAAACGTTAGTCATAAAGTTTAAATTTAAATTGCACGTGGCTTGAAACGTGTTAACTCGATTTACAGTACTAGTTACTCAACGGTGACCGATCACTGCTTTAGCACACAATTTGCACACAATAACGAAACGTCAGGTTTTGGTCCACTAAACGTACGATCCTTTTCCTTCTCGCCATCGTTCGATCATCGATCAGCGTTGTTGTCAAAAGCGCAGTTCTGATATCGTAAGTGCAGTTGCACCGATCCACCCTACGGTTGGTTCTCGAAGAATCGTAGGCCCGTTCACTTTCATCGAGGCGAATTATTATCCAGCCGGGTTGCAATGCGGGTTGTGCAAGAAGAAGGTATCGCGAATCTCAGGTCTGAAAAGTATTTGGTCGCTCGTTGCGCGATCTTGTCGTGGTCACGTGTACGGTGCAGCCAGAAATGCAACAACAAGATCTGATTTCGTTGATTGAGACAACTCTGTTCGAGCGCGTGTTTTCTAAGATTCCTGATTTCTTTTTATATTTAATCACTTTAAGATTTTTGTATCGAGTGGCACTTTTCAGTAGCGAAAATGAAAATTATCAAACTGTTCTTCACATAAAAATGCTTAAATTTAACAAAATAAATCTGATCATTTAATACGATTACCAGTTGCACAGTGGTGAGATGTTTCTTCCACCATAGATACTTCTGGTACTCCGGTCCCATCGCGGACACCATGTAATACGTGTACATTATCACGTGTACCGCGTTGTTTATAAGATTTCCAAGAGTACCATGGCCTCCGGGGATGAATTTCACGCAGATCCATGTCTCCAAAGGCGTCAGAGAATGATGGTACAGGTGCAAGAACGTCACCTGACTGTCTTTTTTGCGTAGGATAAAGAATATCTGAAATTTGAATATTTTCAATAACAAGATAGTTTCGAGATTCTGTTTCGCCGTAGAGTTTCTCCTTGTTACGTACCGTGTCAGCGAATTCCGTGAATTTGCTGATGAAGTACCACCAACAGAGGTTTGCCATACGCAACGCGGACGGATTATGGGAATAGTCGACGGGTTGACACTTGTAGCTGTAATCCAACAACCAGCCGGACATCAGGTGCTGTGAAATAGGAGGCCACGGTCAAGGTACAGTCGAAAGATCGGATTTATTATTAGAGGATTTAAACTGAAGCAGTGTGCCGATATCGGATCGGAAGGGTTAACGTGTCTTACTACGTTCGTCTATTTCTACTGTGCCAGTGAACAGTTTCTAAGTGGTCAGACTGCTATTGCTACTACCTATGTGATAAATATTATAAAATTCATTTCCGTTACGACACTTTAAACTGGAGCATTGCATTAACAAAGAATTAAAACGTGAAAGGCAATTGCATCAACGGTTCTTATTCGTCGTAAGCACGAGCGATTTAAAGAGTTACTTTTTCTTCAATTTAAAAACTCGTTCCTTCTCCTCAGACTTTACACTTGAAATTCGACTATCGCACTAATCAAGGGTATAGAATGTCTCGAAAAAATGTCACGGAAGATGTATATTTTATTCAAGCACTGTTCGCACCCGTACTGCTCCCTAGAATCTAAGAGCGAAGGAACGGCTGATGGAAAGTCGAAAACAGGATGCTTCGCCTTTAACGAACCGCGAGCTCGAGTGTACAAATCGATTGGGAAATCTCGTGGAAACGGTTGTCGGCAGTCGAGTTTGCGTAGTTTCTGTTATTTTTTCCCTTTTCCTTTTTTGTTTTTGCAACCGCACGAGTTTCGCGAATCACGCTTTCCCACCCTCTGCCGTTGGTAATCGCGTTGGAAATTCGCGAATTCCGCTCGTTCGCTCTTCGCTTCTTTCAAAATCGCCAAGAAATTTCGAATTGTTTCGATAGAACCGGCTACAATGCAATCGCGAGTGTCGCAACACGATTTCTTCTTCTTTACGTTTGCGTCAAGTCGAAGTTTCCTTTTTGTCGAGGCGTTTTATAAAATTGAACCGTTTAGAACCGATCTATGATTTATATTTTATTAAAATTTCGAGGGTAATGTGACCCACAGCTCGTAACCCATCGATGGATTGCCATGGGCTGAACGTAACCCTTTCGCTTTGGCGCGCCGCTGAAAGAATGCGTACACGTTCTTCGTACCTAGTGTTTATTCTTCGAACAGGTATCTGGCATTTGTCACATTGAACAACCACCCTTGTTCGTTTGAATATCATTACTCTTAAAGTGTTATTCGTGCTTTCACTGTTACACTTAGTACGGTGGTCAAAAAATCTTTTCTAGCTGCAAGCGATTGTATTTTTTTCATAGTTCTCTGACATTTTCGTCCGATGGCCTACTTGCGTTTACAGAGAGAGGTGTTCGGTGCCCGGAGAGCCATGAACTTTGGATCTCATTGAAGAGTCGCATCGATCTCTCGCGGACCTTTCATGTGCATCAAATAGATAGTATTTAGAGAAAGCTTGTACCGTTTCGAAACGTTCTCGAAACCTTGGAACCGAGCTAAACGTTTCCTCCTTCCAGACAGATGTCATCCGATGTCTTGTTACAGGCTATTAGTCTTCTTTTCTTGTCAGATTAAGTATCGCGTGATTGCTCTAAATCAACTTTGTTTTTACAAAGTCATCTTCCAACAATCGTGTCTTTTTAGGGACTAGAATATTTACCTCGTAAAGCATTCCCAGTGAAAAGACCACCTGGAACGCGTTGTAAGCGACCAGAGCTTCCCTCAATTTGAAAGGTTTCCGGTTGGTCATCACCCGCGGACCGAATATCGTCACCCCGTACAGATACAATATAACGATGAAAAGGGTAGGGATTGGTGAGTCCATCAGAGGCCAATCGCTGACACGTGGGTCTGAAATTGTCGCGAGGATTTCCGTGTACTGATCCAGGGCCATCCGCACCAGTCCTTGAGCACCGACGAACGTTCGATTCGTATCTGTCATCTCGATCCTTGGTTCAGGCTCCCTCTCTGCAACCAGTTCTGCCGCTGCCGACGCCATTTCTGTAAATTTGAATATCTTAAGGAAAATTTCAATCGTAACCTTCGTTTGATTGCTAAAAATTTATTTCCGCATATACACGTCTCTAACCGAATATCCTTGGATACGGTCGCCAACGGGTTAATAAATTTCATTTTATGATTCTTCCTTGTAGTCGTTTTCGATAATTAAATATAGGCGTCTAGAATTGATGACATTTGCAAATTTGTCTATTACGTAAGCGAGGAAACGTTAAAAGACAAGATGACGGTCATTAACGTTGATATATGTAAAATACTTTTTTTTTTTTTTTTATTAACTTATGGGTACTTTTAAACTATACAGATAATGAAATTAAACAGGTTTTATTTTCGAAGGTCAAATTTCAGGAAAATATGCTAGAGGAGATAAGAGTAATAATATCCATCAATCACCAGATTGAATCCTGATGGAACGTGTATCGATGTCATTTCTTTTAATTAGTAAAAGGTTAAAGAGACGGGGTTAAAGTCTGCGTAGTCGATAGGCTTAATAGCACAAAAACAATTCTTCATGATTTACAATCGCCTTGTTCTAGTCAAATTCGAGTCAGGGAGATCCTGAATAAGCTACTCTATCGTTCTAGGCACGTTCACGCGAGGAAACGTTGCAGGTAAAACGCGACAGGTCAGAAAGTTCGAACAGACGTCATCCTCTCCTTCATTCTTGTTGCATTGTAGTTGCTGGAGCAGCAGATAAACAGAGTATTACAGGGCAAACACCGATTTTTTAATGCGATCTTGGAGCAAACTGACGTTTACACGTGTTTAAATTATAGTCGTGTAACACTATATTTCTTTCAACGGAATACAACCTTTTTCTCGTTAGCATTGCATTCGTTTTTCCGATTGTCACGATAAATCAACCTTTCAACGGATGCAACACGGCCACTGGGTGCACTTGCAGTCGCGAAATGCATCAGGATACGGCTTGATAAACTCGGTCGACCCTTCTTCTCAATCGCTGATGATATGCACCTTTCTCTTTTGTCTTGTCGGTTCACTTGTTCTTGATCCTTGATTGTTCTATTATGTTTCTGATCGCTCGCAAATTTTAGTCGAGAATATTACAATTATGGAGCACTGTTTTTTTTTAAATGAAAACTACTTTCGTACCTTTGCACATTCGCAATCGCTGATGTAGCAATACTGCTCTGCATGTGTATATTAGTAAGCGATGCGACGTAACAAACAAAGCGTCGTAATTCGACTGCAAATTCCAGTTCAGTTATTTGTCCATGTTTATAAATATCTAACAAGAATATATTTATCAAGGTTTTCCTCGGATAGCTGACGAATTGTTGCTTATGCGCCTTTTGCATCCCGGGCAAATTTTTCAAGCGAGGAAAAGGATTCTTTGAAGTTTCCTACACTCTTCACCTGTTCTTCGCAACAAGACAAAAGCTTGGTCTCCCCTCGATGAACAATTTCACATCGTTTTCCCAATTCCTTTCTTTTTTTTGTTTTCGTTTCGTTGGATGGTTAGATTTATCACACGTATCATGAAATAATGCATCATGCATGAAAGCGCAATCCTGAATCTCGTTAGACACGGTGAGTCGGTCGCATAACTAGACCAGAAAATCAGACGATACATACGCCGAATGTTCTAAGGCCAATACTGGTTGATAACATTTTATTTCTTTACGCAATAAATTCATATCTCCGTCATGAGAAATTTCTGTATATGGAGTGGAAGATTTTATTAGGAGCAAATCATCACCCCAATGAATATATAATTGAAAACAATTCTTTTCTTTATATACGTGCTTTGTTCTAAAAGCGATGAAACTGTATCGATAAAGGTTTTTTAGAGGTGTGGTTTCGACAACCAAAGCAGTCGTCTTCAAAGTTGTTCCTCTTGGGGATTGGAGATCCCCAAGATGTTTTCCCCACCACTGAAAGTCATCGTCCTTCGAAGCGTTCACTTGAACGGTCATGGCCTTCTGAATTATTTTTCAGTTATATGAAAATGGCCACCATTACTCTTGGGTAATGAAAAGAAGTTAGAGAAATTAGTAAAGACACGATCCGAAGTACAAAGACTTTGTAGTAAGTCCTTAGAAAGTAAAATTGTTACACGTTACGCGTGCAAATGGGTCAATGCTATTATGCTTTATTAAAATATCAGACGATAGAGAAGAATTTATCCAAGTTGAAAGAAAGCTGTCATAGGTAATGCATGTACTTACGTACACGAGAAGGCGCCTAGAATCTACACGTGGAGATTCCTAGCTGTTAACAGAGGAACGGTACTCGTTACAGAGAAAGTCTCGATTATCTTGAGAAGCTGTGAAACACAGATAGGCACTAGCGATGAGTATGTCATTAACACAGCTCTTCAAACTTCAGAAATTCATCTATCGATGAGATCGCGTGAATCTTCTTCTATTTTTCGTTTCATTGATGCCTAAAGTAATTATTTGCAAAGTTCACGAACTTAGAGAAGCTCAAAGTGTTTGCAGTTTCAAGGGCTGAGCCTTAAAGCTTCATTCTCATACGACGATAGTTTTATACATCGCTACTACCCATGGCTGTTCGTATTTCGAAGGGACCATTGGTTGCAAGCGATTATTGGTCACGACGAGAAAGAGGAAAGAAAAAAGAGAAAGGTAGCCGTCTGATCGATGAAGTAGCAAGCCATTCGTGAGAGAGAATTCGAACGCGATAATCATATCGACGATGACGGTGATGACGAGGACGATGCTTGCTCGAACGGCACCTTCTAAAACACGCTTGCTTGCTTAGAGTTTAGTGGGTAAGTGGGTCAACCATCCGGTTAAATACCGATCAGCCTGTATAACACGTCTCTTCCGCCTCGTCACGATCTCTTGCGGTGTAGATCGTACGTTTTCTTCCTTGGTCCATATCTGCTTTGTTCACAGAACTCTTTTTTCTTCTTCTTCTTTGGCTGGCTTTTTTATCTCTCCTTTATTTTGTGATTCTTCCTGTGATCGATACGTCGCTTTTTAAGGGTTTTCTCCAGTCTTTCGAGGAAATTACCTTGACAAGAACAAGACAATGCGGGGAGAGAGGGTAATTGGTTGATCGCAGCCAACTTTCTTAGTGTATCTTTTTCTCTCTCTCTTTTGAAAGATTAGGTGTTTAATTTCACCGAATATTGCCATAGCGAAAGAGCGAGTAATAGGAGAAATGGTGAACTTTGCAGGTAATTCGGACCGCGTGCTCCATCGGTTGTCGAAACTTGTTCTTCCTTCTTTTTCTCATTCATCCTGTCTTCTCCAATTTGAGATGACCCGTGTTCGACTGACCCAAAATTTTCTTTCACTCTCTTTCGGTTTCTCGGTTCACGTCAACTTCTATCGTTTTATTAGTATGACCCAATTGCAGTTTGCCTCGTGTTATGCGAAACGTGTTTCAACAACAGGTTCTAATATTTTTAATTAGTCTCGAATGAAATGTTGCATGTTAACGTCCAGAACTGTGTAGAAAATGTAAGTTATCCTATGTAGAAAACTCATCCCCTGTACTCTTTTTTTTAGCGTTTTATGCGTAGATTAGAGATTACACGATATCGTTTGAATTCAATTTCAAATTTATTAGCCAATCCGTATCTAAGATTGATAATCTTGATAAGAGGGCTACAGCATTTAGACTTTCTGTCACTTTTGTACAGGCCAAATAGTAAGAGATAAATTTTTTTTCTTTTTGCCGATCTAACCGGAAATGGCCGAAAAAGGGTTGGCTCTAGAACGAATCTTGCTCTAGTTCACTTTAGCTTGTTTTATTAACGTGAAATCATTTCTAGATGCTAAACTCGTTGAAAACCGAATCATCGTTTGCAAACTAGCAGATTTTAGTCGCTTTCTACGCACAAACGTCAGCCAGACCGTGGTTAATAATCATCGACATCTGTATTAGCTGGTTTCTTAGGAGTTGGCAACTGTTGTACTGTATCCAAGCATGAGCCGTGTTCCGTTTTCATTGAGTTTCTCCTTCGTTTTTTCGATAACCTTAACCTCCTGCTCTTCGAGTTCCTATATATTACACAGCTGTATGGTTCTGAGAAATTTAACCACTGCATATTTATTAACTAGTTAAAACGGTTTTTCGTGACATTTCTACGACTATCCTTTCGACGAACCGTCGAACAAAACGTTATCCTTCCTTCTTCTTCGCTGCTTTTCTATTTTTCTACCTCATCGATATGCCACATAGTTTCTTTTCTACGGAAGAAAATTAGCTAATTGTTTCCTCCAATTCGATAGAAATTCTGAACTTTCCACTCGAAAGTCTTATTTATCGTTTTGGTGGTATACTTTCAGATTTTTGCTAAAATTGTTTTGCGATTGGTTAGGTAAGATAATTTTCTAGGAAATAGGCGATAGATTCCTACGAAAACTTTGATTAACCCGTTAAACAGGAAGTTGATAGGATAAGTCGTTAATTAGCTTGACCTTAAAACCTTAATTGGATTGATCGTTCATTTACGATTTGAAATAATGTAATAATTGGATGTTGAGTCGTAAATGATCCTGATTTCTCATTTATTTACTATTTCAACATTAATGATTATCAAGTAGAAAGATAATTATATTCAAAGTCGTTAATTAGGCTGATTTCAATCTTCATTTGTCCCCGTAATTGGCTGAAGACGAAGATACGATCTTTCACCAGTTTCAAGAGCACGTGGCTGTCTAGGTGCGTTCGTTTAACATCCATTAATAGCAAATGGAAACTTAACGGTACCAATCGTCCACGTTTCGCCGAGCAAAATGACACCGGTTCGATTCTTCTCACTTTCATCCCACGGTTTCCGGTTCAGAGGAATGGTATTAGCTACACACTGTCCCCGATTAACATCGAAACCTTCTACTCTTCTTCTACGAATACCATCCAAGAAAACATACCGTACGATTCCAAGAAAGTTTCCAATCTATCATTTATCACTGTGATTCCAAGTTGATACTCATCTTTCTCCCTACCTCTGCACATACCTGATCGATGATTTCTTAAAAATCCCCATTCTCACCCTATTTACGAGCGACTTCTTTTCTTTTTCCTAGTCTAAACGAATTATTCGTGTATTTCCTTGAAATCGGCGAACCCCATATTTCAGATAAATTGATGTTCGTTGTCAGTATATCGTGTTCGAGATTGGATTAATGAAACGCTTGCGGTCTAATCATAGTCTAATAACGCGTTGTACGTTTGTAATATCCGTGGTTTCAGTGTTAACACCGCTGTAATTGTTGACAGACGATTTCGCTTTCGTACAAACATCGTTGTTGGTTCGTGATTTTACGTAGTTTCGACGTTTTACGCGGGACACGCGAACCAGCTTGACCGAAAATGGTCCAGCGACCTTGTGCCGAATATTTAAACCGCGTTTCGTCCACTCAGTTGCGTAACTCGACGTGCTCGGACATTCTCCTGAGGACTACGCGATATCAGGTAATTGACCATGCAGGCCGAAAAAAGAACAGCCGTTTTGTCTGGACGCGTGACAGTTCCGTGAGAAATTTTTCGAAATTTTTCGAAATTTTTCGAAATGTCGAAATTCTTTTATCTTAATTAAGAAGAAAATGAATGTGAATTATTAAAAATTTTTAGAATTGAAAGTAATCTATGTTAATTAAATGAAAGGATATTTCGAATTGACGATTCGATACTGGTCATCTTACTATTAATAAAATATGAGTCGAATCTCGCTCGTTTCATTCATCAGTAAAGATAGAACTAACGAGTAATTTATAGTCGCATTATGAATTCATTGAACAGTGTGAGCATGTTTAACAAAAAGTTTCTCATCTCGCGCGAAATCGGTTTTCAGTTTTGTGTCCTCTGTTTTTATGCTTCGTTTCGCTGTTTGCATAGAGAAATCTCTTGGTATCAGTCAATTTAAGATGGAAAGAGTCCTGCAGGTATTCTAATCAACATTGTTGCTTGGAATATTTGACCGACAGTAAATTATTAGCTAGATAATTTCATCAAATAATCATTCGTATTAGAGTTAAGTAGTATGTGTCAACGATAAGGAAAAGCTTGTTCGAAGCTTGTTGAAAGTCTCGTTACACGGGTCAAATTCCTACATCCATGTAGCACATTGTTTATAGGCTAATTTCTCTTTAATGCCCACACGAGTAGAGAAAGAAAGGTGATAAAGAGTTGTTTCAGATAAACGTCAGCTTGTTTCAATAAATTCCACCTAAAATGGGGTCAGATAATATTTTACCTCCTTTTTTTCTTACGTTGTAAATTATTCGTGTTTCACTTTTCTTAGATGTGACATGTAAGTAACAAGAGTGAATCAGGATGCTTATGCTTCCGTTTGACAAAGAAAACCCATCTATGCAAGTGAGTGTACGTTCGAAGTGATTCGAAGCGATTACTAGCCCAGAGGTACGCGCGACCCACTTCTGCTTCCGCGGGATGTACGTTTTGTTTCTTCACTCTTGATGCGCGTGCAATTTTCGATGACGATGAAATCGATCGTGGATCACTAGAAAGCCAAGACGAACCACTTCTACGGTACAGCTTCACCGCTGCTCGTCAACAAATCCCTCTTTCGTTTTCTCTATACCAGAATTCCGCGGTCATTTAGAGATTGTTCACTTTTCTGAGCCTCTTTCGTCGGTCTTTGTAAGCCTTTATGAGCTCCTGTGAGCCTTGTTCAGTTTTATACTCAACTCTCTAGAATGTCGTACTTATACGCGGTCTCTTTCACTGTGGCAGTCGATGAGTGTTATTATTAAAAAAAGTTATACATATTATTAAAAATATCATAAATAAATTCATCGCATCATCTACAATAACCAATTATATGAAATTGACACGAAATTTGGCTGGATAGCGTGTTCTGCAAGGTTTTTCATACGGCCCGTCTGATCATTTAGAGTGATATTCTACTTGCGAAAGCGAAAAGGAGAGTCTTCTCTAATAAATTCTCCTAGCAAGCAGTGCATAACGTGGGACTCTCTAACAGATCTTACTGCTTTTTCTACATTCTCTTCTGATCGATATTTTTGCAATCGGATTGAATTTCAGAAAAATAAATAGAACAACCCACAAATATGGATTTTCGTTCAATCATACGTAAACTGGGTGCATTACTAGATTACGGTAGGACCGGATACTGTACACTGTAAATCACGTTGCAAATGCATTTCGAAAGTGTACCAAAACACTTTAGATGGATATTAATTAATTGAGAGATACATTTGCATAAACCGGTTGGGTTTATTTCATTCGTTTGCATTCGGCTATGTTTGCTGGGAACATTTGTTATACTTGTGTTGTTTAACTTTTTTCGCTTATACTAATTTATTTAAGATGAAATTTTGTTTTTTTGAACATGTTTATAAAAAATTGTGTACGTATTGGGTAATAATTATGTTTGTGAGAAATTTGTGTTTAATTTGAAAAATTAAAAAAAAGAAACATGAAAAAGTTATTAGTAACTTATTTGAATATGTGATAAATATGCAAAAATATGCAAGATAATAAAGTTTTTTCTAATGTCGAAACAAACTTATATCTAAATATCATTCCTTGACCGATCTTTTGTTTCTTTTTTTTTTTTTTTTCAAATTGTTTAATTACATAAACGTCCGGTCCTAATGATTGAAGATAGGATATTTTATACAATTTACACGCTTCGAGGTGCATTAATGGAAACAGAATATTGATGACTGTCGTAAACTAAATAATTGTATTAGAACATCAAATGATAGAGTTCTTAATAGGAGATCTCTACTTTCGAAGTTAACACGTTAACCGCATAGCACGTTGCGTTCTACTTGTTTAATCCAACAATAATAAGTATACCATATCTACTATGAATCAAAATATTCCGATCCAAATAGATGAAGTGCGAGGTGTTTTAATCGAGATCTGATACTACAGGATACTAAAGTGAGAATGCATTGCGATGAATCTGCAATACTGTATTCTTCTAACAAAGGAACGTAGAGTTTCTTTCACTTCAAACTTTCATTTCTTTTTCTCATTTATTGATACACTTCAGTAGTGCCAGTCATTACATTATTACTTCGAATCTATCTCAAATTCTTCTCATCCCAGTTTTCACAATAACAGTATATCCATTCGTCGAGGTAATCATTAATCGCTCCACTTTTAAAGCCGCCGGAAAGAGAGACTAAACCCAGACACCAGTAACAATGATAAAAAGAAGCGTATCAAAAACCGATTTACCTTTCCACCAACAAAAAAGACGTCGCGTTTCCAAAGTAAAAGTTCGACCACTGCACCCGAGTTTCCACCTCGATATCTACCTCGATAATCCAGGACCTGTCCAGTATACTATTCTCCTAAAAAAAACTTGTCTAACGCACCAACAGCTACCACCTTCTCAATCTTAAGAACAGTGAAATTCCTTTTCGAAAATGTACATTAAAAAAAGCAAATCTTCCTCGTTTTCTCGAAACTAATTGTAAGTCTTGTCAAAGGAAGCGCATTATCTGAAGAAAACTGTGCACTCTGTATAGTTCACTAACATCCGAAATGGGTCTGATCACAAAGTTTTCTCTCCCTTCACACGTTGGGTCACACGCGACAGGGTTAGAACACAATTTGGGATGACAGTTTCGCTTGTTTCGGGGCACGCGTTCGCGACGACACACACTTTTCGTGATGTGCCGTGTACACCGGTATGCGTGTGTGTGTTTTCGCGAGCGTGTGCACGCGTTCACGCGAATACACATGTACAGAGTGTGGGTCGAACGATCGATGCTGCGTGAATAGTCCGCGGCGGAGCGAAGTCACGGTTTAAGTATTGGTTAAGCCAAGTGGGGTTCGGTAAGAGCGGTGGTCAGGGTGGGAGCGTGTGGGCCTTAGGTGATCGCCTAAAAATCTGGTGCCACGGGGAGTCAAGGTCTGTATCCCTTCCTAGCAAGAGCCAGTAGGTCGCGAGAGAGGGAAACTACAGACTTCGGACAGCTGTACACCCTCCGGGCAAGGTCGTTCTGGGATTCGAAACGCGCCCCGGTAGACACCTGTTCTTAGCGATGGCTTTAAACCACCCGCGGACATTCTTTAACCCTTATATTCAATAAGGTAACACTTGGGTGCAACGTGGGCTTCCTTTAAAGCTTAAACGAAGAAGTATTTTAGTTCTGGGGGAATTAAAGAGGAATGTGGATAAATAACGTGAGTGGTAGGATTAAGGAAGTTACAAGGAAATAACATAATCAGGAGTTTGCAAAACACGCTAAAAGGCAATGATCAACTATATTTTTGATTAATGGCATTGAATGTAATTTGAATAATCACCAAGGTTGTAGGAACTTGTTTTATTATAATGTTAGAATTGCTAGTTGATCTTTGATCTTCCTGTTGAACATCTACCAGGAAATTCTGTGCGTACTTTGCATCACGCAAACGTCTTTATCGTACGACGAAAATTGAATAAGATCTGTCGAATAATTATGAAATAAAATCATGTAATTTATTTGTTTACTCTATTGAAATATTTCCTGTATTGATAGTTACCTGCTTCACCGATGACATGTATGTCTTGCATTGAATTAAGCAATATAGCTTTCTCTCGGATTCAGTGCAGTGGATTAAGGTCGCGTCTTCAAAGGATCACTAAGTGGGTCAAAAGATACAAAAACCAATTAAAACTTCCGTTTAATTTTTTTTTTTTACATATCACAAATTTAAAATTACACTACCATACTTGATAGTGATAGTCAAATGGACGTTACGTTAATTGTAGGGTCAGATTCGATCCAGATGCGACTACGTGACCAAGTGTGCGTAATCCGTAAAAGAACATTATTTAAACGAAAAATCAACGGCTCGGTGAGAAGAAAAACGGACCTTGCCCCCCAGTATATTTTTTGGACGACAGTCATAGTTCATTGAAACCGTCGGTTAGTTTGTAATTAAATGGAGATTTCGAGGAACTTGTCGCATACAGGTGGATTATGGAATTGTTATGTAATATCGGGTTAACTGTGTCACGGACGCAGGTGAAGCATTAGTGGCGAGATGAATTTCGTTGGTGGACACTCGGTGAACTTCGTTCACCGAGGACCAGGTACAGAGGCCAGTTTTAAATTCTCTTTCTCTCTTTATCTTGCATGTCGAGGTTGACGGCAGTCGCGGGCAGTGTTAATGATACCAAAGAATGGGTAGTGGGTCCGTTATTTTCTTTGGTAAATTCTTTAAAGCGATACATTTTTAGGCCATCTGATAAAACACTCCGAGTCTGGATGTGTAAATGATTCCGAAGGAAATATGTCAGATCTTAATTAACCATTTTATACTTTCATAAATATAAATGTAGTATCATTATTTTTGGACTAGACCACGTACTTTTGACTCATGAAATTCCGGATTTTTAAATTCAAATGTTAACAGAACCAGTTCTCCCGCTGAAGCTCGTTGATCCTCCGAGGATAATGAAACGAAGCTTTGTTACTCGGGAATGGACAATTATCATGCTCCTCACGTTCATCCGGTAATAGAAACACGGAGATTCCCTCGATCTGATACGCGATTAATTTTCCTTTCGCTTTAGACGGTGAATTCGTAATTGCTTGTATGACGAATTTGCAACGGAACCGAATACTTCGCGACCTACCTTAAATTCTAATGCACCCACGAGACGTCACCATTCTTTTTGGGAATCTTTTTCCTATCTTTTTCGTTCTAGAAATTTACAAGTACAAAAGTTTTTATTTTATTTTCACTGGATGCATGTTTCGTGTTTGTTCGAGGATTTATTCGAACGTGTTTATGGCGAAGATAGGCATCTGTCTCTAGTAAACATGTCTTACGAACAATAGTGTACCTACTAGTATTTCGTTTCAACAGGATAGAATAGTGATTTGAATTCTAATCACGAATCAAAGTCAAGTTACTTGCAGTTCTTTTTCTTTTTGACGGATTCTTTATGACTGTAATCAAATTAACTGTTTGCAGGGGCGAATTCAAAAACCTAGCTGGGGGGGATACGTTAAAGTATGTTCTTGAATCTTTTCTTATACGATTTGAAACTTGTTTATAGTATCCAAAATAATCATCTTCCTATGAATTATTTATTCATTGCAAAAAAACAGAGCAGTTATAGTACATGTAACCGAATAATTTATTTTTTCAAAAGAACATTCCAAAGTTCTCTTTTAATATAGATCAATTTATCAAAAACTCTTTTGTTATTTATTGTTCATAATTTACGCAATGAATTTCTATGCAAAATTCATGTGTCACGTATGTATCGGACGCCTGTTGAATGGCAACCTGTCTGCGCTCCATGATCGCAGGAAAGTTAACATATCTATCGCGTTCTCTATAACCGAATTTTTTAATTTTTTAATTTTTCTTTCTATTGGGTTGCAGAAAAACATTTTTCGTTTTATAAAAAAGAGTGTAATAGTCGATAATTGTACGTATATTATTGGTTTATTGTATTTACTAATTAACTAACGCATATTACATTGAAAAGTATACTCGTTTCTGAGAGAATACAGAGTTAAAAATTTGCAAATTTGTGTACGTGTGCGAAAAATGATACATATACGGCGGACAATAAAGCATTCGATCGATCGTTCGGGCCGAGCTTCGAGATAGGACGAAATCAGAACGCGAGGAAAGTACGCGGTATTTTGCAATCGACGTGAAATGTGCAATCGAGCCGTATGAAAACAGGAATTCGCTTCCCTCGAGCGTAGTACGGTGCATTCACAAATTCGAACGGAGTTTGTGGTGCGTCGCCGATTGCAATGGATAAATCGCGTAAGACGCAGACGGTGCGTCATCGCATACATAATACGATTAATGTAATTTGCAGAATTCGATCGCCTCCGGCGACCATCACTTTTTATACAGGAAGTAAAAGGGAATGTTTCAGAATGATTAATTAGCTAAATGAACTCGTATCGTCGATGAATAATTTTATTTCCTGACAAATTGTACAAGCTCGATCTCGACTGTGTCGATCGAATTCATGTATATAGCATAAAAAACTAGAATAACCGTGTGAGATTTCTGAATGGCATGTAAAATTGCACGTTACAGAGCTATTAATTACTTATCAAGTCGAAGAATAAATTTAATTTCTATTGCAAATCGTAATTATAATATTACATCTAAAGTGCTACACGTGTTTTTATGGTAATTCAATGTTAATCAACGAGGTAAATCACTTATTATGCACAATGTCTATTTCATAGCTGGAGCAAATAGAATAATTGTTATCAATCAGTTTTATAGATTCGTATCGATTCATTTCATCGTAGATTCGTATTCATTCAATTAAATTACAAAGTACGAAAATATTCGTTAAGGTCAGGTGTCATTGCACTTGACGAAATGATATTCTTCGTAACAAAAATAACGAAGTGTGCTGTTGATTTAATGTTATGGAAAAAATGATGAACTTGATTGTTTGGTGTTAAACCACTACTGATCCTGATGGTATAAATTATTCGTTATAGAATTGTCGAAAAATGAAAGTTTATCATACAAAGCTAGCTCATTGAATAGTTAGGATAATAACGTAGTTAGCACCGCAAACGGTGACTTTTTGACATTTTCTTCAATTACACATCCTGGATACCTTTCGTTGAATCGCAAGTTGCAAGCGATTGCGGTCATTACAAACATGATGATGCGATTCTCTTATTTCTTTTGTTGGTTTTTTAATATCCGTTATGAAATATTTGTCTGCTGACGACGAATTGAGGAAAATTTTAATATTTTTCGTTTGTACTACTAATTATATAACACACTGTCTATCCAAGGATCAGACATTCCGTCATAACTCACCCTATACGGTGTTTCACGAATAGTGATCATCAATGGATATACAAAAGTCGTTAAGTCGACTGTCATGATCGATCGTGGACAAAGGAGATTGGTTAAAAACGTCGTTTGTCAAAGAATCGGTTGGTTGATCCGTTCGGTCACGCGTGGAATCGCTCGAGCGGGCCTCACAGTCAGCTTTTGTATTATAATTTAGCTGTTGTCGAGACTTTTCGTCTTTAGCTTCGAAGATCGAAGGAAAACAGCAAACGTGAAAGAGGAGCCGACTGTTTAGCAAGAAGCCAGTCGAACTGCTTCTGAAGATCGGCTCTCTCCCTTTGATTTTGCAATCGACCAACAGCCGTTGCGAATACTCGCGTTAGCGCTAACTCTAATTAATATTAGTACCTAATCGTGTGTGTTGAAAGATTAACCGGAGACGCACGATTTCTATTAGGAAATTTACGCACTTTACGAGTCATATCAATTCGGCAAGGGAAAAAGGTGTAAAAGGTGTAAGTACATTCCCCTGGTTACATTCACCGATATTTTGTTGCTCATTGGCCGTAAAAATGTGCAAACACACGAAAAGAAACGAAACGCAATTACGTTTTGCAATATCTTTTCCTTTTCTTTCGCAAACTATCGTGAAAAGGTAAAAGCAAAATGTAGCGTCTTGATAGTCTTGAGGAAGGCTACCATACTCAATTTTCTCAATTTCCTGGGAACGTTTAGTGAAGCAAAACAGACGTTAGAGAATTTTCTCGATTGCTTCGTTGTTTTTTTCTTAGTTTGCTCCACATGGCGAGACACCTTGCTTTTTCATGATTTCTTGTTGGCCTCAGTGGGTTCCGTTCTTTCTTTTACCCTTTCTCTCGAACTACGACACAACGATCAAGGTCCTTGTTCTCGAAAAGGACTCGAATGTCGAAGGTATGCTACGCACAGGTAAACGATACTTTTCTCCCTCGGTCCAATGATTTCTAACTTTGACACGCAATCGTTTCGAGAGCGACCATTTTCGTAATTGATTCTCTGTTTACCACCGAATGTTAACGTTGAAAAAGAAATGATATGTTCTTTGAATGATTGTACGCATTCATGCTGATTCAAAAGTTTGAATACATAGGTGGAAGCATCTAGCATCGCGAAGGACATCGTCGGACAGTATTAGCCAATTTTTATGTTTTTTCTTCTTCTTCTTTTCGACTGATGATGAAACAAGACTTAAATGATTTATAATAATTTGATCTTTGAATGACCTTGAATATGTTTACGTTTGTGTTGGTGCTACCAGTTGTATCATCAAACATGTTTTTTTTCTCTTTTTTTAATTCAAAGGGAAAATATGAAATTAATTTATTGAATAATTAACCCTGGAACGGTGGTGCTGGTTCGGTTGTTTTTACTTCGTTCTTCTTCACTCTTTATTAAGAAATGAATCGTTGCTAATTGGGAAATTATCAAGTTAACAAGTTCCAATCCTTTATGATGCTATTAAAGTACCATTCGTTTAGATGATACAAAGTTTGTTGCAGCAAGGAATGAAAAAGACACGTGAAGTTTTATTATGCAACTTTCTCATCAGTACGTGATGTAACTTAGGCAAATAACGTCGTAATAAGTCCATCTAGTAACTAAATTCGTCTTTGAAGGCTTAATAGATGGTTATTTGCTTCATCTTTTACCTACTGTTATGGTTATTACATGAGCAATAACGCAAATCAGAACACAATAAAATCAATATCTAAGGGGTACTCTTAAGGGGTGGAAACTATCATAATAATATGCGTACACCCTCAATCAAAAATATTTGCCCAAGATTATCTGTTTGATCCTTCCTTCTAAAGTTTAGAAAAATCAAAATCAAAATCAAAATTAAAAAAAAAAAAAAAATAATAACACTAATTGCCATATTAATATTATGCTTAAATTTCGGCTACATGTCGCTATTCCACGGTTTGCTTATCGTTTGATACCCCACTTCGGTCAACTTTTCCTACTCCCTGTTGGTAGAAAGTAACAGCGTTGTGGCTCGATCAAATCGGTCTTCTCAGTCCATCAGAAACGTCGGATCGCGTGAGATCGAGAATCGTGTCTGTGCTTCCTTGATCTTCTCACGCGTAGACACACGTACATACGCACACATGCACGCATACACCGATCTTCGATCGTAACACCACCGACGATTACTATCATTCGACCTCACCCTCTTGTTCTATCAAGGATCTTCGATCATTTCAAGTTCGATAACGATTGGTACTTTGATATCGAATAATTGGGGATCAAATACACTATCGAGGATTCGGTAGATCCTATCGACGGACAATTTTCTTACTGATCGACGATGGTGGTGTGACGTTGGTCACTGTACGATTATCCTTCAATTCAGGAGCTGATTCATTATCGGTAAGAACTTCCAATCTGTCACTTAACACCTTTATTAAAACACGATACTGCGTAATTATTATTCAACAGTTTCTTCTATCTGTTCAAACCAGGCATAATTATAAGTTCCCTGGGTGTACGTTTCATTATTTATATGAATTAGCTTAGCTACTATGTAAGAGCTGAATCGTAACCAATTTCTCCACTAATTTTCACTCGTTATTTCCTGAAGTAATTTCTACAATATTTTCTAAAGAAAATTAGAAATTACGCCTTGCTCAACAGACGATCGGTGCATTTTCGAAGGATTTTTTTAATCCTGATATTTTGATATTTCGAACAGAAATGTCCTTGCAAGGCTTTTTCATTCAGCCACTTACTTCCTGCTTCAATTCCCTAACCGGTCTTTCTCTCTAACGCAAGACAGCATAACACGATTTTTACGGTCCTGTTGACCGGTTCTCTGTACATTTCATCGGTTACTCGTCTCTGCAATCCCGTTACTACGAAATTGATAGCATCTGGTTAGTTATATTAGCGAGAACGGAATTTTATGGGAACGTGGATCCGGCATCATTCTGCGGATGGTTGCAAGGAAGAATTGGAAGATTTACTCTACTAAACTCGAAGGGGTAGATTCGAACGCCAAGTGATCTTGTGTAATGGTGGAGGCAAGGCCGAGACAGAGGGTTCAAGTTTGTCGCTTTTACAGATCGTCCATCGTTCTTCATCGTTTGCAATCGCAGACGTCAAAGATTCAACGAAGTACGCATGATAGTAAAGACATTTCCGTGACAATCCATGGAGATTTCCGGTGCCCGTTTCCCGGAACGGTCGCTCTCTTTCGCGTACGAGTCGATTCCACGGGTGAACGACCAGCATTTGAACTAGAAATCTAATTGCGAGTGGTACGTTGCAATTTCACTCTGACCAATACTAGACAACGTCATTGGCGTAGCACCTTACCTTCGATAACGAACGTATAGCGACCGGTATGAAATTGGCATGGCTAAAGAGTTTTCGTGTCTTTGTCATTTACTTTCCATCTCGTTGAGAAACATTCTAGTCTCTGTTTAAGCCTTTCTTCAACGACGTAACAGAAATAATTCTTGAAATCTTGGCAAGATTATGTGTCAACTGTTATATTTCTGCACCATAGTGTTAACTGGTGTCTAATAACAACGGTTTAACGGTGGTGTTTTTATGGAGAATTGTTTCGAATGGGTTGCTTCATTCTGAAACTTTTTCCTAGCTATGGAGGCAACATGCTTTCGTGTCATTTCCGATTTGTCCCGGTAAAGATCGTTTTGTTACTGAGCATGACTATAGCCATTCGATTGTGGCACACTAAAGGTGGCAATGAAAGATTAGAAAAGAAAATGACGGGACGAGTAAAAAAATTGATTAGTAGTGATCAAGGTCAGGAGGATTGGAGAGGAATTGTGGTGAATTACGTAAGTGGGAAAGCGCAAGAGCAAGACGAGAAAAGGTCGGTGCACCAGTGTTAACGAGTTTCCGTTTAACTTTCATTTACTCTGCCACTGTGTACAGACATCATTTTGCCCTGTAATAGATCCTTCATTATCAAAATTAATAGCAGAGTTTGGACTGGAGAAATCTTTTGATAATGGAACATCCGCTTTTCTTCATATGGCTGATAAACATTTCCCTCACTGTCTCTTTCCAAAGATAGGAAATGTTTGGATATTATTTATATAACTTATAAAAAGAAACATGGGATGTTGATAGACTTTGAGTACTGAAAATTACACGGTATTTAATCGTGTTCGTAATATGTGAAATTACGTTCCAAAATGAAGGATCGAACAGATGGATGTTCATATCCATTTGAAAGTGTAGGCGAATCGAAAATGTCAAGGAGAATAGCGAAATTTTGTTCTTCGATTCCGAGTCTTCGGTAAATTTGTTAGTTAATGGTGATTATATTACAATATGTAGACCATATTAATGGTGTCAAGCATTTTTTACTTTCGACGTAATTGTTTCCCTTGTTTTCTCTCGTTAGAAACGGAATTAGAAGACTAGAAACTAGATGGTGAAGTTCACTTTTTTCATTCATCTAGATTTTTATGAAAATTACACTCGCATCTTTTGTGCCATTTTCAACCCGCTTTATAGTCTTTTTTCGAAAAAAACGAAGCTAGCTCGTTTAGCAAAGAAAGTTTCCATCGTTTCGAAAGTATCGGGTCCATGACTCAGGGGATTTTCGACCAGTTTTTCTTCAGTCGTTAATTAAATGATATTTTTTTACTTAACCACGAATCGGTAATCGTTATTAACATTGACGTAACTGATGGAATTCGACATGATGAAGGAACGAAACATTATTATTAATTTATTTATTAAGGGGTAAACACCGTTTGAATTGCAAAGAGGATCGCAGAAACGTCGCTCATTTCCTCGATGTATTTTATTTTCTTCTTATCATTTTCACGTGAAATTACGTAGAATTGATATCAAACAATGACAGTCACCCTTACTAACGAAAACATGTTTAAAAATAATAGTAGAACAAGAGGAAGACTGGTCTATTTATAATATCATATTATATCGCACTTTCCAACTTTGTACTAATTATTATACATATGGCCTGTAACACCATTTCACGCTCAAGTCGCTCTGGTTGCTTCCTCATAAAATTTTACAAGAATTGCAGTAGATTTTTATAGCGTACCTTTTTGTAAGTTTCACATGGAAAGAAGAAATTGAAGTGATTTAAAGAGAAACTTGAAAGCAGAAAGTTAATGATTCGTTACAGAATTACAGATTATGGCATATCGAAAGTATTAGATTAAAAATGTAATATTGTCTTTTTTTTTTGTAGCTTAATAATGTGAATTGTGTTGCGTTACCACAAAGTTACACAGGTGTATAGAGGGTTAAAAGGTCGGAGGACGTACGTTCATAAATCAGCTGGAAAATTTCACTTCGTCGTTGGTTAACGTAATGACCAAGCGAAGGTTCTAAGAGCAATGAAACAGAGACAGTTATTTCAGACTTTGTTTTATTCAACTTATTCAACAAAAATTAAATCAAAATATATTTTCAAATATTGTATTTTTTTTCACATTAATTCTTTTGAGACTTAACTTCAAATATATTCACTGCAAATTGAATCAAAAACAATCTTTACTTTCATTTAGCGTAATTAAGGTAATACGATCTTAATTTCCGATCTTATCTATGATAATTTAAATCTTAGAACAGACAAGAAGCAATTACAGTTATTTGTATGGGATACGACTGTCACGGACTGGGCAATTAAGAGTCCCAGTGATGTCACATGACATGATGCATGAAAAGTGGTTGACTTGATTTTGATAAAAGTTAGATCATGAAACAAATAGCATAAATACTTTGTATACAATCGAGTGCGGTGCGCGTGCCATTCTCTTCCCGCTTTCTCGTGGAAGCGATCGTCATCGTTATCGGTCGTCGATCGATACTAGATCGTTATGCAACAATCGGATTTCCTGGGAACCGTGCGGTGGCAACTCGAGTGGACACTCGTGCTCGGCTCTTACCTCACTGCCAATGGCAATAGATGAAAGATCGCGTGCCGAAGTCTCTCGTACACGAGATCTCTTACTTGTTCGCGTAGTCAAGAGAAAATACAATATGTACTTGGCAAGAAGAAACGGGTTACGACACCCCTCGCGATTATATATTTTTTTTTTTTTTTCCATCCCTCAGTGTCACACTATGGACCTCGATTCGCGATTTACTTGGATAGGTAATACGGTATTGCGTTGAATCCGAGCGCTTAAGTAATTTTCGAGGTAAAAGTAGGAAAGTGATTCGAACCATTCAAGCGTTGAATTATTGCATTTTACTGGGTACTTGGAAGTAATTTATGTTCGAGTAGATGGTCGTAAGAGGCAACTGGCTTCTCGTTTGCTTTCCAGCCGCGTTGCAAGAGCGTTCGCAGGAAATCGGTCGTTTGCATACACAGTGTGCCTATTTATTTCGTCGAGACGAATTACGAGAAAAAGGTCGAGCCGGAGATCGCGATTGTGATGCGACGGTTCGATCGGATTTTTATTCTTCTTACGGAACCGGACGAAGGACGTTCTGTCGCAGCTGATGTATAATCGCGAATAAATCCTCGATAACGTTTCTGTCTGACCAAACGACAGACAACGATGCGTGAATTATTCTTTTCGTTGACAACTTTTATTAATCATTCGCGCGTTCGCACAGTGAATCTGAAATGATAAGTTTTTATGTGGAAAAAAAACAACACTAACCGAACTTGACATTTACACTTGACAAGCCGGAAATTAATAAATTGGCCATACTTGTACGTAAGGAAAATTTCGAAGTGAGTCAGCTGATGGCGAGTGGCACAGTTTCGCCGGCGCGTTGGCGCGCGAAAAACGAATAAATGAAACGCGAGAGAAAGGTGAAGCACATGCACCGTGGTTATGCATTTCCATTTCGCGCTCTTTGCCTTGACGACCGCGAATTCGCGATCCGTGACTTCGTGCATTCCGTTATAGCGACGAAAACCATCTTCTGTCAACGGAATCAGCGCGAATATCCTGGAATCCTTTTGCGAGTCACAATTCCTAATCTTTAAATTAGGAATCTGAAATTTAGCGAATAGGCCCTAGATCATCTTTCTGAAAGATTTCCATAAAATTAAGAAAGAAAAGCTTCGTCGGAAAGAGGAACAAGTTATTATCCGATTAAAAAGTTGTTTTCAGTCTGCTCGGGTACGAATAAGTCTGTAAGAAATGATTTTAAGCTGCTGACTTCGCTGAATAATAATACTAGGATGCCGTAATACGCACTTGGTAACCACGTCACACGTTAAAAAACCGTGGTTATTTACAAGAATCGTAGACAAAGCGATATTTTTCGAATTCTTCTCGTTTCCATCAATCAATCTTATTCTCGGTTATTTAATGTTGCCGCGCGTTCAAAATCGAAATTCTGCGGAGGTAGCAAGAGTTTGGTAACCGGTATCGACAGGATGTTAACGGTCAGCGTATAAAAGCGGTAATGAAAAGCTGTTGCGCGAGAGTAGCGAAGAATGCTTATTGCGGTTTCAGGGAACAGAGATCGGCAGCTTAGCAATCGTGGAATTTATTAGCGACGGTGTTTCGTCGTGGACGCGAAATGCCATCCGTTTAGTTGCGAAGAAAAGAGCCACGAGATAACTGCACCTCGATGGGTCATCCGTAGATTCCTCATTTTTATATTAAGAATTTGGTACAAGGTCTTGCGCGTTGTCGATTTCACCGAGTCCATCAGACGTATCGCAACGCGTGTCTGCGGCTACTCGGGAGTAACTTGGGTAAATATTAGCTACGTATCGAAACACACTAATCGGTACGAAGGGATGATACTTTGGACCGTGAGACACTTGAAAATAAAAAAATGAAGGGATATTTCAGAATTTACTCATTGGCAAATTTCGATAAAAAAACACAGCTGTTGAAGGTGTTACGAAGTAACGCGGATCGTTAATGGACGGGGACGTTAGTGTTGCAGGGGAAGTTGCAACATGTAATTGAACGTTAGGTGTTTCAAACGGTCGGTGAAAAAAGGGAAATTTAGGTTAATGAAAATGGTCGCAAGAAATTATTAATCGGTTATCGGGAACCTAGCAGCGAATGGTTTTACGACACTTGTTTTAGTCGATCGTTTTTGCTCGATGCTGCACGCGAATCGTTAAGAAACGACATTCTTAATGATACCTTGTGGGAAAGGAGCTAATTTCTGTCTACAAGGCAACGGTCAAATATCTCAGAAGAAACATGTTTTTCGGTAAATATTGGTTTGTATTTTAACTGGTTTGTTTTCTAGGAGTAAATTCATTTAGTAAATTCATTGCACTCGAGATTGCGCCTTGATTGCACCTAACGTTCTCCTCTAACACTATTGAAAGTCCGAACATTATTGACGAGGGTCGTTTGCTCGTTCTGTCTTCATTTTATTATCTGAAAGGAGGTTTATCTGACGGTATCTAGGATAGAAATCTATGGAGGATGTAATGACACAGTATGCTTGTGTACGAGGTAATATGTAGTTACTTCGAGCTTCATCTATGCATGTCTGTTCATGTTGAGATTTTGAAGTTAAAGGAGGAATTTAGAAAGTAGGTTACTAAGTAATTACGATATTTAAGAAGACATAAGTATAGAGTGTCCCAAAAGAAGGTGATCTTATGTGATAAAAATAGTCAAAGTTTATTGCTGGTAACGACTTAATAAACTAAGCTGTCCTTGCCTAACTTGTTATTATAATCACCCTCTTTATTACAGAATTCATTTTATAGGGGCATTCTGTACCATTTGCCTGGAGAGGAATGGTTGAACGTAATTTTACGAGTAGACGTAAAGTTACATTCGCACGGTGGATTGTAGTCGCTCGAAATGACTAGCGAATTGCTTTTAGTTTACCGATAAATGATCAACAGTAGTCAATCTTGGAAATATTTTCTTTTTAAAGAGATTGATGTATTATAGCAAAACGTCTGACACATTTTTGAAACCATTAAAACCTTTTTTCCAGTCTTCTTGCGCCTTTCATATAATTAAAAGGATCGACCTTGTTCCAGTTTCGTTTAATTACAGTCTCTAAATTAAATGTTTGGCGCAAACATAGATAAAAACGAAAAATAGATAAAAAGTGTCGGGACTCTTTTGTACAATGGGCGAGCAAGTCTTGTTAAACGCTGTAATTAGAGGCTGTGAAATCGGGTACACCAGCGCTTTTCCACCTTTCGTTTTTCTTCCGTTTTCGTTGGAAATGGAATCGGAACCGGTTCACACGCAGATTTCAAGTGGGAATGTAGAATTTCAGCAATCGGTCGATCCTGGAGCTTGCGCAACCAGATACCGCGAAACGAATCTAATCAGCCAAGGGAACTGTATTTGATTGGCGTTTCCACCCGATGTATCGATGATTATTCATATTCTTCTCTTATTGTCTATATCTTGCTACTACTATTGTGAAAATATCACTAATCTATCATTTTTTATTGTTTCAGTTGCGTTTCCAATGAACATCAGCAGTACACCCCCCATCGACAGGATGTCGAACATCTACAACAACTCGGTGGTACGATTTTACCATTTCGTGTTCCACGATCTATCCGGTAAACAATTCTCTTTTAATAAATTACAAGTTAATTTTTTTTCATTTAACACGAAGATTGACGATTTTATAGATCCTAGGACGAAAGACTGGTTCCTCATAACGTCGCCAGTACCTGGTGCCAGTATTTTAATCGGCTATTTATATTTCGTTCTATCATGGGGTCCCAGGCACATGGAGCACAGAAAACCATACCAGCTGAAGAATATTCTAGTCTTCTACAATTTCCTGCAAGTTCTACTTAGCTTTTGGTTATTCTACGAGGGTCTGGACGCGGCTTGGCTTCGAAAGTACAGTTGGAAATGTCAGCCAGTCGATCATTCTTATTCACCGGATGCACTTAGGGTATTTCCATCTCTTCTTCCTTTAATTCATCGCTCACCAGTTTCCTTTTACGCTTAACCCAAAGAAATTGCGTCGCTTAGGTCGCTAGAGGTGTTTACATTTACTTCTTGGCCAAGATATCCGAGCTTCTGGACACCATCTTCTTTGTTCTACGCAAGAAAGAAAATCAAATCACGTTTCTTCATTTGTACCATCATACTGTGATGCCGATGGTTTCATGGGGTGCGACCAAGTATTATCCTGGAGGCCATGGGACTTTTATAGGTACTGTTTAGAAAGTAAATAGGTGGAATATTTTCTTGTTTTGTACAATTGTTCTATTGTTCCATTGCAGGAGTGATTAACAGTTTCGTTCACATTATTATGTATACGTACTACTTGCTAGCAGCCCTAGTACCCCAGTACCAGAAGTACCTTTGGTGGAAAAAGTATATCACAACCCTTCAGATGGTAATGAAAGTTCAAGGTTTAAATGATCGACAGAACAATTAAGAAATTAATCTTTTTCTGTTTGTTCATCAACAGGGACAGTTTTGCTTGGCATTCTTACATAGCTGCCAGTTATTGATCTACGACTGTGATTATCCAAAGTGGTCTTTGATCTTGATTCTACCGAACGCTATGTTCTTCTACTTCCTGTTCGCTGATTTCTACAGCCACGCGTACAGGACTGGCACGAGGCATTTCAAATCCGTAGGAAAGAAGGAGAACGAAGTGGTGAAGAAAATGACGAACGGGAATATGCAAAATGGAAAAGGGAAAACGGACTAGTCTGAAACATGGTGGCTAATGAATGATTTATAATTTTACAGAATACTACGTTCGCAGTGATCGTGTGTTCAATGATCGAAGTCCTGGTGATAATTGCTCACAATTCATTCGAGTCAATTAGATCTTTGTCAGAACTGTACCGCTTGGAACCCTGAAAGGCCCAGAAAAGGGATTAGAATCTGAGACGTGCGTGTGAGCTTTTTTTCGAGTATTTTGTAGTATAAAGTAGGAGATAGGGTAATAATAATTTGATAAATCGTTTATACATATATAGATTTGCTTCGATTTTGTACATCTTTTTCGTCGAATTATCGCTGCTTTCTTTTTTTATTTCTTCTAAGAGAGTGTAGATAAAATGGGAGACGTTTTACATTATATGTAAGATACTTAAAGTAAGACGAGTAAATAGAAAGATCATATGGAATTTTAGATACTTTTTTGATAATAGGAGAATTAGAGTTGTCAATTTTTCAAGAACTGAGCTGTATTAGAAAGGTTGAATCTTTCGAAATCCTTGATCTTCTATAACGGTAAAATGTTGTACCCTGAATTGGTTGAAGCATTGAAACTTATTGTAAATATTAATGAGCCAATCTCAGGGACTGAGCTCGATTAGACAATAAATAAAAAAGAAACGATTAAATCGCTATTTACGAAACAATTACCAAATATTTTCCCTGCAATAAACAAGTCTTTATAAATTATCAACAGCATTCAAAGTCAAGTATACTTCAATAAATAACACTGTTACGTTTATTTACATATCTTAACTGCAAAATACAAGTGTCACGATCGACAGTAGTGTTTCAATCCCAGTTACGCGACGTCGAACGTGTCAGATGTATGTGTTTTGTTATGAAATTCGTCGATTCGTTCAAAATACTACAAAACGTTATCCGATATGTTCGAATATTTAACTCTGGAGCAACTTATATCCACGCGGGCATATTGAGTTGTCTATGAGTTAGTATTGAACTTTTCGAACAAATCGACGTAATTTACAATTTATAAATAATTCTATTAAGTGAAAGAAACACAATCTACCGAAAAATTAAATATTACACTGAAACAGGTTTACGTTTGTAAAAGATTGGGTCGTTTGTTGACGAAGAAACAGTGCCGTTCTTTAGTGCCATCGAAGCCCGATGGCAATATCCGGGTTCTTCTTTTCTTCTACTTTTTATTTTTCGGTCGTAGCCCACTTCTTGTAGTGACTACAGCCTCGAGCAATTTGGGTCTGGTCAAGACACTTCTTTTTCTGTCCTTTTCCGTTGGTTCGACTTGTCTCTCTTCAAACAACGTGTTACCGCTGGACCTGTTGACCCACATTTTGAAAGACCCCGTTACGTCTCCAGATTTTGTGCCCAATGCACTGAAACCATCTCCCACGAAGTTGAAACCCGATCTCTTCCTAATTGGGACGATCAGGTCGTTTCTTGAACACGTTCTTCAAGTTACCTTCTTCTCTTCTTTGCTTCTCTTATTGATTCCATCTACCACTTTTCTATTAATAAAATTGTTTGACAAGTTTAACCAGTTTCTAAATATTTTACGTTTCTTCTTTTGGCAGATGTCGGTCACTTCCATATTATTTAACGTACTGTTAAGTTCAGAAAGTCGGTGAAGATTGATAGGAAATTATTGAATCGAAGAATATTAAAGTTGTTTCTTCTTGTAAGCCTTTCGGTAGAAGTCGCTGAAGAGGTAGATAAAGATTACCACATTGGTAATGAAGAAGTAAGTGAGCGCCTTAGGCAGTTTACAGTCCATCACGAGGATCATCGTCAGATAGCCAAACATAAGGGCGAATTGCGTCTGGTACAAAGAATTTATATTTATTATAAAAATCTAAATTCCATTTAAGATTTAATAAAGAAACTTTCGTACCAGTTGAATTCCAGTCATGTACTTCTTCCACCACAGGTACTTTCGGTACTTCGGTCCCAGAGCTGCGATCAGGTAATACGCGTACATAACGATGTGCACGGTAGAATTTAGGAAACCGAGTATAGCACCCTGTTCTCCAGGTAAGAATTTGAGGTAGCACCACGAGAACACGGATGTCATGGTGTGATGGTAGACGTGAAGAAAAGTGACCTGGTTTTGCTTTTTTCGGAGAACGAAGAATATCTTAAAAAAAGAAAAATTAATATTGAAATGACAGAATAATAATCCATCGATGACCATCCTTTTCAATCACTCACCGTGTCTAGAAGTTCAATGATCTTCGCTACAAAATACCACCATGCCAAATTTGCCAACTGGTTAACGCAAAATGAAGAGAATATTATTTGCACCGTGCAATTAAGACTCCGTGTACTTGTAAACTTACCGCTGCTTCTACCTGCGTGTCTCTATGAACTCGATTCGAATTACTGCATTTTGGTGAGAAGAGCAAACGTTTCAAACCGGGGTAGATTGCCGGCTGAAAAAAAAATGATTCATCTCTGATTATGTACCATCCCTTTAAAACTGTTTAAAATTGTTTAAAATTGTTTAAAATTGTTTAAAATTGTAGCGATATCATACCACAGCGCTCATCCAGATACTGAAGATAACTAGGAACGCATTGTAAATGATCAACAAGGAGTTTAATTGGAAGGCTGGTCTCTTTTCCATCATTTTCGGTCCAACTTTCAAAACGAATGCCAAGTACGTCCCCACGATGCATAGCATGGGACCAGGTGACCCCATCATTGCCCATGAGTCTACATTGATTTCTATAAAATCGATGAATGGTGTCTGGTTACTTGTGCCAGCCTTTCACTAACAAATTTCGTTAAGTAGATTTTCAATAAAAAGAACTCTTCAAAAGAGACGTACACGGTGGATGACAAATACCTTTTCGTCTATGAATATTGTATAAATTATCAGTGACCAAGTTTTGAATTCACGTTAAAAATGGTCTCGTTTTGTGTTTGTGCAAATTAGAAGAAATTCGATTTGCACGAGTGATTTATTTATGCAGTTACCTTTGTTCGTTTCCAAGATTTCGTGGTAGTTGTTCACTACCAGACGCATGAGATTCGACATCTTCGAATTTTCGATAAGATCTGAAACGCAGAGGAAAATTGACGAATCGAATGATTAAAAATATAAAATTAAATTTATACTCTAAATGGTACACTGGTTTGGCATCCAAGAGTTAATAAAAATCAATTATTTTCTGGACAAAACACTAAACTGGACCTACCTTGTTTTTTCAGGAAATACGTGAAAGCAATTTTTATTTAGAAAACGAATTTTCTTCCTCTTCCTCAACACAACTTCCGTTTTCCAGCAAAGTTCCTTGGAAGGTGTCCAAGAGGAGCAGATGATGAACGAGAAACTGCGAACCAAAAACTGATCAACCAACGACCAAAGCAGCCACGAAGAGGACCAGAACCTCGATTTTCTTTACCTGCCCCACCACGAAAGCTGCGAAGCTGTAAAATCATGACTTCCGTTGGTCGACTGGGGGGCAACACGGTGAAAGAGGAAGAGACGAAGATGCTGGACTAGGTCGTTCGAGATGTAGACTTCGATGACTATGGTTATCCGTAATGATTGACCTATTAATCGGAACACATTTCTTTCATAGTAACTAGCTACTCCAAAATTGCATCCAAAGTTGATATTAACGATAATATAATAATAATAATTTCTTCCTATGAAGTGTTTTCGAAAAATTCAGATTTTTCAACAAATGTAAAAAAGGTGATAAAGGTATGAATACCGTTGAAAATATTAATGGGAAAAATTCTGTTATCTTAGAAATAGAGAAGAATTCTTTTGAACTTTTCCGTTGTAAATAAAAATTCATTTTAAATACCACCAATTACGTGAATTTAAATGCCATTATATTTTAAATAGCACCCAGTACTTATTAATTGTGTAAGTATAAATTTGACTTTAAAATGAAATCTTTAAATCTACGTTAACGTGAACATTTTCTGCTATTTGATCGAAAGAAGAAAATATTGAATTTTGGTAATAATCCTGAAATTAACAGATTTCTGTCGCGACTAGTAATGTTGTTTAACGTAGGTCACACAATGTTCTCTTGCTGGAATTCACTTGCTCGTCCTCGCTAATCGTCTCTTTTTTCCGGGCAAATAAAACGTTTATGGATTTCGCAAATATTCGATAATATTGTGGGAAAACGTTCTTTGTAATTCTTTTGGCGCGTCGAAACGATGATCTTATTGGAAATCAAAGGCAGCAGGTTCGAATGATAAAAAAATGTTCAAGTGTAACGTATACGATGGAATATTATTGATTCTCCTGCTCTTCACTGTATATCTGATGTAGAAGAAGCAACGTTATTCATGGGGTAAACTGGCAAGTAGAACAAACGATATTTTCTAACTGTATTCGTGTTTAACTATCAGAAACTGTCTAGTTGAAAGTAATTTTTAAGTTAACAAAAGAGCAGCTAGCTACTCGACGAAACGTCGTAAATCATGATTCACAATATTTCTTCGCCATTGTCGGCGATGACAGTTGCAATAGACCCCATTGCGAGTCCCGTTCTATTCCACGTGAATTTCATAGTTTACAACCTGTACCATAATCACTGAATTTTCTTGTACAGTTCGTATTCGTGTCGCCTAATTAGTAACTAATGAAACAAGTTATGGGGACAATTTGAGGATCCAGCAAGAAGTCTACGAAATTAGGTCAAAACGGACCGAGTTTTTGCTACAAGTCGCTATTTCTCAGTCGAGATTCTTTGCCATGCTGCTAATAAAATACAAAAAAAAAATTGCCGTAGACGAGGTGAATTTACTTAAGACAATTTTTAATTGCCTTTCAAAGTATTCGACTGTGAACTTTGCTCGGATCAAGAATATGAAACACGAAGGTTGTTCTTTTAAAATATTTATTTTAAGATGCTGAAGATTTCATTGACAGATTTTACATTTTTTTCTAAAATATCGCAGAATTCGTCTACCCTCCACAAAGTCCTTTTGTATCGCAGGCGTTTCAGTTGTTGGTCATATTTTATATATCGTTAAAAAATGTTTCAAGTAGTAACGGAACTTCTGGACCAGTCAATACTTTCTAATGTAACTGTTACGCATAAAGCATAAGTAATGCGTGGTTTAGTCTATAAATAAATTGTTTCAGAACAGATTCAAAAGATAAGACTTGATATTTTTATTAAAAATCAAAGTTTCCGTTCACTGCGCAGCAACATGAGTTTCGCAAAAGTAAACGTTTAAGACGTCCCAGAATTAGATCGAATCCCCTGGAGAGATGATTGCTGAGGTGATTTTTAACAACTTTCCTTTGCCAAAATGTTGGTTAAGACTTTGTTTTTGAATTAGAGCGCGCGTTGAACCGCGGGTAGGCATTTTATGGACCAAAAAATTGGCGTCCATCTAGCGGTGAAAAGGTGGAACTAACAAAATTAAGAATTTTATTTTTTGCCAAAATAAGGAACTTTTTGGTATTTTCGAGGCAATGTATTTTCAAATACATAGGAAAAATGTCCATACAGTCGATTAAAAGTTTTAATTAAGACAACAGTCTCTCGTCGGTGCAGCTGTTATTTACTTAACTTACCGACTGCTGGAGGATCGATCGATCGGTAAGTTGTCGAGTAGTTTCAGACGTTTTCGTATAGATGGCGCTAGAATCGAATTTTTAAAATACAAGTGTGTCAAATAATTATTTTAATCATTATTTTAATCATAGATTTCTTCTTCCTTACGAGTTTATTTAATAAGCTAATAAAATAAATAAAATTAATTAAATAAACTCGGAAAATAAATAAAAGGTAGATGTATTGTTTGACAGGTAGATTCGCAACCCTTTGGCGGTTTCGTCAATACTATTCAGTAACTTCAGTTAGGTGTTAAAATAAAATTTATTGATCCCAAATGTACAAGTGACCAATGATTATCATCAAAACATTTATTGAATTCGCTTCTGGACGAAAAGGAACTTGTTTTCAGTACAAACATTATCTTCGAAACAGAGAAGGTATTAGCGTGTGTAGCTACGTCTATTTGCATTGCGATCTACAATAATGAATGAATATAAATAGAAAGTAAGTGGTAAGATTATTAGTTGACATATCGTTATGATCGGGGACAGATAACATCGTGAAATTATGTTGAGAAAGCAACTGCGTCTCTAAGTGGCCAGACGTAGAGCCATTCTATCGATGAGGTTGAGCCGTTTCTGAAACTGAATGAAGTCGGAATGAGCCAGGATCGAAGACGTGTAACGCAAATTTAACATTTTTACTGGTTCTTCAATTTTCCGTTTGATATTTCTGACGTGACACCGTTCGTAGCGACTTTTGGCTTTCTTATGTACGCCTTGTAGTAGAAATCTGCGAACAAGACGATCATGAAGACGTTCTGGGGGATCATCACCGCAGCCGTCCATTTTGGGAAACCGCAATCCTCGGACCAGGCTAGCAACACAAAATGCAGCAGGATCAGGCAGAATTGGGTGAGTTGTATTTGTGTTATATATTTCTTCCACCAGGGTTTGCTCAATCGTAACGAGGTCACCAAGTAGTGCGTGTACATCACTATGTGAACAAAGCTATTGATCGTACCTGAAGAAAAGAACGTTTTATTAGAGATACGATGAACTATTTTTAAGATGTGTGCTGAGAATTCCAAGTTTGCTTACCCAAGAAGGTAATGTGACCTCCAGCCAAAAATTTAGTTGCTGCCCAGGTACCTAAAGCCATCCCCGCGTGATGATAGACGTGAAGAAACGACACTTGATTCTGTTTCTTTCGAAGAACGAAGAAAACGGTATCCAACAGGTCAAACAGCTTCACCATAAAGTACAACCATACAGTCCTGCTTATCTGTAGATTATTAGGTAAATTAAATTTACCTGAAGGCAAGGAATACTTTTTTTTTAAGCACCCTATATCGCCGATAGCGAACGTTCCAAGTCCTTCGCTATGAACGACGTATGAATACCTTATTGATAATCAATATTAATGACAAAAGAAGCAGGAAAAGAGTTAAAAAAAGGAAGCGGTGGTAATTTGTTCATTTACCTCAAGCGCCCTTGGACTGTAAGAATAATCAACCGGTTCACAGGCGAATTTATAGTGGAACAACCAGGCCAATTCCAACGCCTAAAATTTCATATTTTCTTTAATTTAACCCTGATGGATTTAATAAGTAAAGCTATTGACTTACCTTATAGAATACGTATGTACATAATACTATCTGTATTGCATTGTATATTTGCACGATTCTGTCTAAATTGAAGGGTTTCCTCTTCGCCATCAAATTAGGGCCCAAATCGTGCACGAAGTATAGGTAAAATCCTACTATACCTATGCAGGCCCATGGTGATCCGATGAGAAAGTAATCCTGTGTTCTAGGATCTTTTCAAACGATAGAAATATTAACAATTACCGCGTTAACTCTATTACGTTAATTTAAGCTTGAATACCTGCTAACTCCTCGTTGATGTAGCGGTAGCCGTGATAGATACGTCGTATCAATGTAGCCATATTTCCTCGATTGATAGATTCACTAAATTCACTTTAAAGTGCCTACGAATCGTCATAAATCTCTTCTCTTCTTCGAGTGAAAACACCAGTCAGTCTACCTCGGTTATAATTTTACGTTTCCGTTTTCGAAAAACTTTTCAGTATACAACATTCGTTTTTTATTCGATCGAGCTTTGCTTCTTACGAACAATGTACTCAAAGATGAACGCGAAGAAATAAATAAAAAATGAAAAAGAAAAGAAGATGAAGAAATTGTTGCACCGTTTAGTTTTGTCCTGCTCTTCAGGTGCGATCAATTTCGATCGATCGACCAGCTCCGCAGGCTTGTGCCCGATCCAACCTTAAAGGAGTAACAAGGGAGACTAATAGAATCCGTTTCCCCCGTCAAAAACTTACCAATTGCGGCGTCACTGTATTTTAATTAACGCGATCGATACAACGTTGTCTAACGTCTTTGACCTCTAGCATCTTGAAATAATTAAATGCGACTTTAAACGAGAGGGGAACTGGAATACGGGCGCATCAGGCAACCCTACTCGTCGCCTCGCGTCCGAAATGGTGAGATACTGACGACGGTAGAAGGGTATAATTTGATATGCTAATAATGATTAAACATAATTTTGATACGTCTGTACAGGGGTCTGGTCAAAAGTTCATTGTCTAAAGGGAAGTGGAATGTGCGTCACCGTTCTCGTCAATGATCGTTGATAGAGTTCGATCGTGTTCCTCGAAACTATGCGATTGCGATAGGAAATAGTATCAAGGACGCGCGTAAGTGACTTTTTATCATTTTTAGATTAAAAATGAAGATGTCACTTGCATACGCGTAACATAGTTGTACTGTGCATTTCAAATTTCTACATTGGTAGATGCGTATTTCAGGAATTTTACTGCCACAAGATTGCAGGTATAAAGTCGCCTCTAATTATCTTCGTGCATACAATTAAAATTATTCGAATAATATGGTTTTTGAATTAGCTTTTAGCTAATGGAATCTGTTACTTGGGAAACAGGAATGGCCATAAACGTCTAATGAAATACGATTATTAATGTCCTGATAATAAACTGACGTATTATTGCTTTCACCATTTTGGGGTTTCCTTTCATATCCCGTTCATTAATCTTAGCATAACGAACAAAGAATTTTCGATTCTTTCTTCTTTATCCAAACGCAATTATCCAGTGTACAATTGTTTTGCAATCGCGAGGGATATCCGGAATAGGATATGCAAAAGTGCCGGCCACCTATGCAACTTTGCAATTACTTCGCAACATATCCTCTTATATCCCTGCGTTTGTAGCTATACCATTGTTTCTTGCTTATTAAATGGATTTTATAGAAAATATAGAAAATTTCTATAAACGTCTACAGACGTGCAATAACAGATATTAGCATAAGATTCCATTTAAAACCCGTGATTGGCGATCAATGAATCGGATTTCTGAACACATGGAACCTATTTATGTTTCTTATGAAACACAAATAAACACTGCTCATTTGGCTGTTTCAATATAAAATCACGCATATAATGAAGAGAATGTCAACGACCGTGTAATCGATTAACAAGTAATATCTGCTGCGCAATCCGCAAAGAAAAGTAACGATCGCGTCGTCAGGCTAATGAATTTTATATTGTTTCATTCTTTTCATTCGTCGTTTTTTAAAAACTTGTGTTCATTAGCAATTTCAACTTTTCACCCAACTATTTATCGAACTGCGTAAGAACTGCGATTCTACAAAACTATTCTACAAAACAAAACGTACATACAATAATCTTTAAAAGAGTCAAAAACACAGTCATCTTTAAAAGAATGAAGCAACCTTGTTACTTAATAATCAGCTTTTGACATGAAAATTATTATTTCAGATATAATACTGTAACAATGGAATGTATACATATGTATACGCGAGGAACGTCATTTCCGGAGAGCGAACAAAATCTCGACATTATTTTTTAAACGATCAAACTTCCGCACAAAAATTGTTTAATTAGGTTTCCTTTCTTCAAATGAAAACGTTCATTTCTTTTATCACATATCTTATGTCAGCGAAAATTAAAATAAAATGCTTGCTGAAGCGTCACTGGTGGAAGTTTATTGTATGTAATAAATTTTACTTGCTAATAAAACGCGCAAAAAATCTATGACGGCCGTGGCCTTGTGTAACTGAGTGTATTATAAATCGATTCAACATTCATCAAATTTGCACTTAGGATAATAATTCTCTGAAAAAATCAAATTTCTCCACAGGCATATAAAATATAACTATTTTCTGTAAAATTAAAATACATGTGGTCTACATCGAAGGGTTGAAAACTTTTTATGTCACTTCAATCTGATTTCAGGCTTTCCCGACCTTGATAATCTCTCAATTATCAAGGAATTTTCATTGACATGTGCGTCGTGCTTCGCATATCATTTCTGTAGGCGCTAATGTCAATATCGATGCATGATAATTTTAACTTGAAGCGGATGGAGAGGTCCCACGGGTCCCGTAGGTCCCACAGTCGTGACCCTTAAACGATGAAAGGACGTCGACCAGTGAATAATCGATGAATTTGCTGCTCGCCTTCAATATATGCGTTACTTATTTTCAATTTTTAAATACCAGTTTAGCGAAGAACATTGATGATTTATCTAAAAATATTTCTAAAAACAAATCTCTGAAAACAAAATACTTATTGTTAATAAATGTTGTCGATACAGTTTCGCTTTTCTTAAGAACGATATAAAAATGATAAAAGACAAGTGTAAATATTGATTCGGGGTTAATATACCCTTAAGCTCTTAATGGTTATTAGAGGTTGGGATTAAGTTCTCAATATACGCAGTGCTTTGCCACATTACAGCAACAAGGGCCGCTGGCGTCCGGAGTTGGGGCTCCGGGCGCTTTTGCACGCGGCCCGCGGAGAGGCCGATACCGGGTACGGCCCCCGGTGTCGGCCACAGGGTAGGCAGCAGGGAGAGGTCCATAGACCTTCTCCGACATGGGCACATGTATGCCAGGCGTGGAGGTCTCCGAGGTAATACACATAAGGTCTCGGAGACCTCCTTTAGCGCCAGTGTTGGTCGCCGTGGGGTTTTAGTCAGTAGGAATCTGACACTCCCCCGCCGTCCTCCCCCAGGGGACGGTGGGGGGTCTTATGCAAGATTTCCCCACGTTAAAAAAAAAAAAAAAAAAAAAAACATTTATAGCCATTGATTCCCTTTCATTCCTGCATCTCTTACCTCCCTGCATCCCTTACATTCCTGGATCCCTTACATCCCTATACCTCTTATATTACGGCATTAGACCGTGAAAAATTTAGTTCCTTTTTTCAAAACCAGATGGCGCTGATTCGACATTGAAAATTTAGTTCACATTTTTGCCGCCAGAGGGCCAAAATTACTGCGTGCTTTAGTTTCTTTTTTCAAAACCAGATGGCGCTGATTCGACATTGAAAATTTAGTTCACATTTTTGCCGCCAGAGGGCCAAAATTACTGCGTGCTTTAGTTCCTTTTTCCAAAACCAGATGGCGCTGATTCGACATCGAAAATTTAGTTCACATTTTTGCCGCCAGAGGGCCAAAATTACTGCATGCTTTAGTTCCTTTTTTCAAAACCAGAGGGCGCTGATTCGAGGTAGAAAATTTAGTTCAAATTTTTGCCGCTAGATGGCCAAAATTACTGCATGCTTTAGTTCCTTTTTTCAAAACCAGATGGCGCTGATTCGACATCGAAAATTTAGTTCACATTTTTGCCGCCAGAGGGCCAAAATTACTGCATGCTTTAGTTCCTTTTTTCAAAACCAGAGGGCGCTGATTCGAGGTAGAAAATTTAGTTCAAATTTTTGCCGCTAGATGGCCAAAATTACTGCATGCTTTAGTTCCTTTTTTCAAAACCAGATGGCGCTGATTCGACATCGAAAATTTAGTTCAAATTTTTGCCGCTAGATGGCACTGTTTTCGAGAAAAATTTATTTCAAATTGTAGGAAATAAAGTGATTTGTGGGTTGCAGGGCTATAAGGGAAGCAGGGTTGTAAGAGGAACAGACATAGGGCGATGTCAAGGATTGAAGAGTGTAAGGGATGGAAAGGTGTAAAGGATAGTGGGATGTTAGGCATACGGTGATGTGAGGGACGCTGGGATGTAAGGGTGATAGAGGAGGAAAGGATGCAAGGATATAAAGAAAGCGTGGATGTAAAGGATGCAGTGATGTAAGGGATGCAGAGATGTAAGGGATGCAGGGATGTTGTGGACACTGTAGTATGAAAGGCACGGGGATATAAGGGGCCTGGGGATGTAAGGGACACATGGATATAAGGGGCCACGGTAGTCTATGACGTCTATGAAGTGGAATAAAATAATGAATTACTGGGAAGGGTGGGCAAAATGAGGAAACAAGTTGAGTAAGTTATTTAAATAATTTGGAAAGGAAATGAAGTAATTTAAATAAATAACTCACGTGCTCTTTTGAAATGATTTATTTACCAAGGCGGATGAAGTGAATACAAGTTTGTGAAACAATTATTTCAATGATTGACTGATTTCTAATAAGATAGAATTAAAGGGAATCGAAATTGTGTCTTTTCATTGTCAGTGCAAGTGTGGTAAGAGAGGGACCGATAAATCATGCAAGATTATCATACCCACTGTGCCCTGTACATACAGACTTTTTTTTTTACGTCGGGGAAATTTTCGAAAGACACCCCGCCGAGCCTCTGTGGAAGCTGTACATACCTGTAGGCGCTGGTAATAGACTGAATGGTAAAATGCTGTTCAGTAATCTGCCTTACCAACTCAGTTGGAGGTACAGAGTTATTCTATGAGATCGAGGTTGATAACGATCGAAGAACTCTGTTCAGCGATCGATCGATTTCTGCGTTATCAATACTTTGAACAAGGCGGAAATTTCAAATATGATGCGTAAACTTTTACCTAAGAAAAGATCATTTCTCGCCTTTCATTCCGAACAGTTTTCCAGAAATCGCTTAGTTCTTATATTTGAAGAACGAACACATCCGTTAAACACTCAACAAACCTTTCATTAAATTTATTCTAAAGAACTTAAAATAATTAAATGAACGTGAACAGTCTAGGATGATCAATGATTCGTGTATCCGATGTACTCTCATTCTGGTTTGTTCTTAACCGTACCATTCGTGCACTCTTTCGTGGCACTCACTCGCTTTTTAGTATAAGTTTCAACATAGAACGAGCTAAACATGTAAATGAAGATAAGCGCGTTCAGACAGAGTAGAAACGAGATCGGTTTCGGGAAATTGCATCCATTGAAAAACACCTGCAGATTGTGCAGGAAGATGATACTAAACTGGATCAATTGTAACGTCGTCAAGTACTTCTTCCACCAAAGATATTTGTTCATGTGTGGCCCTATCGAGGAGAGCATGTAGTAGGCATACATGATGACGTGGATGAATGCGTTGATGACACCGAGCAGAGTACCATGACCCCCGGGCAAATAACGTACTCCAATCCAAGCGCAGAATGGCATCAGGGAATGGTGGTAGACGTGCAGGAACGAGATCTGACGTTGTTTCTTCCGCAGAACAAAGAAGACCGTATCCAGCAGCTCGAACAACTTGCACAAGTAATACAAGTGTACACCTCGAGCTATCTGCAAGGTGGAAACCAGTTGATAACAATCTAATTTTTCTATGATTATGCGATTATTCTTTAAATCAGAGTAAACTTACCCTAAGAGCCATTGGATTGTTCGAATAATCGACAGGTTGACAGCGGTAACTGTATTGTCCTCCCCATCCAGCCATCAACCCCTCGTAAACGAGATATATGCTGAGCAGTACTTGTATGAAATTGTATAAGATCATTACATTTCTTAATTCATATGGCTTCTTGTCTTTCATGTACCTCGGTCCGGCTGAAACGCTGAAGTAGACATACGTGACAATGATCATGAACAATGGACCTGGCCCTGTTACCAAAAACCAATCGCTCGTCCGTGGATCTGTAAAAAGAGTATAATCACAAATGTTACGAAACATCCTGTGTATTCGAAAAGATTACTAGATTATAAATGCACGTTACCAGGTTTGTTATAGACGATGTCTTTGTACCAATCCACGATACCCGACATTGTTCTTCGTGTTTTTCTGATGAACCTGAAAAGAAGAAAACAGAGACTTAATATATACAGTTAATCTTTGCTGATTGCTACAAACGTCTATAATCAATGTTGCTTACAACTTCTTAATCGCATTCATCGAATTCCCTCGATCGGAAAATTAAAGTTGTTCATGAAACGAATATCATTAGAGAAAATTGATAAAGTGGGTAAACATCAAGAAAAACTTGTAGCGAAGTACAAGGTGAAATAACTCATAAATATATGAATGTATACAATTATTTTTTAACAAAATTGGATTTTCCATTTTATAGATGAGTACAATGTTTATAAATTCGCGCTGAAACCCTTTTTGCGAGAGAAGGTGAATCATGAAAATCTCCTGGTCTGAAAACGTCATTGACGAAATCCATCAACATTAACATGAATCAGCGAAAATCAACCAAGTGCCCTTGGATCTGTGATGAAGATACAGGATAAAATGCATCTCTTTCTAATTGCTCGAAGCGCAATCAACCTGGACAGAATTGTGCTCTGTCGCAAGAATAATGAAAGTTTTACAATAAGACAGTCTTCTATTTGTAGGAGGCGTTATAACACCTGGACTATAACAGAAGATATTGGTGGATATCAATGATCGATCATGAGATAGATTTGTCTAACGATACTATTTCAGAAAGAGTTACGTAAATTTGAAGGACAGTAAACGAGGCAAGAAACACGCTTCCTAGTTGGTATTAATTAGGTGCTACAATGTATTACAGCTGATTGATTTCTTCCGGATCGAAGCACGTGTACACCTGCATAAGTCGATTTCGTCGATTACGGCAGTGCTTTCGAACTATTAATCGCCTTGTTCTTTTTTCAGAAGTATCACAGGCTTTGTATCGTTCAACTCCCTCTAAATCAAAGTTTCTTATGAGAATTTGTAATTCCTTAACGTAAAATGCAACAGAAACTTTATCGAGAATCAATTTGATTAGGTGATTAAAATCCAGCAATTAATTTACGATAGAAAATGAAGTTCGATGAAGTCATCAATGAAATCTGTGGAATAACAATAATTCTGCGAAGGGTAAATCCAGATTACATGCGTAGGTGGAGTAGGAAGCAGATACCATTTATAATAACACCTGTTACCGTTACAACGCGCACTGTTATTCATATCAGATCGACAAAAATAGAAAACTCGTCTTTGTAATTGAAGATAATCGTTCAAGAGACAAAGAGTTCTTCGAAGTGGTCAGAAAGGAAGAAAAAAGTGGAAAATGTAGTGTTAATATAGCTAGGGAAACCTATCGTTCTCGTAATTGTAATTCGTTTCCGCTAACTGTACTTCAGACTCTAGGGAATGAAAGATGAAGAAGAGAATGAGGGAAACATCGTGACTCTTAGCTGGTAGAATGACTGGAAGGGGCCAGAAACCTCGAGGAGGAACTCTAGCTAAGAACCAAGGTGAACGAGATCGTTAATGCTCGACCGTTTCTTCTGCGCCCCTTTGCTTTACCTGACCTATGGTTCGACGACTTTTTTATGTTTAAAACTCGCCCGAAAATCCCCGTGGCTCTCTATAGAAACCTGAAACAGTGCTCTCTCCAACACATGTCCGAGTGTTTGTGTTGTATCTGAAGATTAATACGTGATAATTTATTTGTATATCCTTCGACGAAGCCAAGGCTTTATGAATATTAACACTTCCGCGGCTGATAATCTTCTCACTTGCGTAATATTACAAGTCGAATGCAATGATCTTTCATGTAAAAATGATTATCGCACTATTCTAACATAGAAAAACAAGTATAACAAGAAACTTGCTTCAAAATATTATTATGGAGTTACATGAACAGTTCATTAACTGTTAAGAAGCTAATTAAAAATGGAAAAGATGAATTCGATATCTATTGTGATTTTGAGAAGATGACATGTCACTTAAAATACCTAACCCGGTCTAATCCTGTACATCGATCACTGTCATTTCGGTTCGTAAAACGCCTTCAGACGGCAACCCGACTTCTCAGAATCGTTAAAGGTAGAGTAAAAGTAGGCGATTCGTAAACATCGCGACACCAACTCCGCTACATCGCACCTGCAAATTACAATAATTTTGATGTCGCAACGAAAATATTTTCAATCTTCTAGCTCCATTCTCCGTTCTATTAGAGAATGCATTGTTCAGAGTCCTAGAATCGCAGTGCCGAAGGCGAAAATTGATCATTTCTAAAAGAAGATTATTCAGAAATTTTAGCGGACTGAAACCCACTTTAATTACTTTTCATACCTATACGAGCAATTTTACCAAGCCTCAGACCAACTAGTCATTAAAGTCATTCGGAATTATAGACAAATAAAAAGTTAAACATTGAAACGATAAACTTTTAATGGGTCGTCTATAAAATTTCTGCAAAAACTAAATTCCTGAACATTTCAAGTCTTCGTCAGAGAAGAATTTCTGACATAATCATCCATATATGTACATTTCAGAGATCAGTGATCCTGTTGAGCGAAACACGTCATTTCGGAACAAGGAACAAACTGAAACACGTTTGTGTGAACCGTTAACCATAATGTCAAATATAAAAGACCGACTCTTCAGGGTTCAAGGTGGCCGAAGTCTACGAAAGCAATACGCATATATAGATATTGTCGGTGGTTAATCCTATAGATATCCTTGAGGAAGGAGCATAGAAGGAAAATGTATCACAACCGGTTGCAATGAAAACAAAATAATAGGTGTTTGTCTGAATGCAATCAATGCTTGTGACGCAAAACGGAAACCCGATCGAATTTGAATTACAAATGAAAACAATTTAATTCCAGTTGTTCAAATACTTTTCTTTCTCTGAAATCTTTATTATCATGAAGATTTCGTAATTTGACACAACGCTGCATGATTAATGCCGAAGAAGATGTCTAATGGAACTTCGTTTCCGTTCACTGCATGTCAGTGATTACAAAAAGTAGAAACGTAGGTAAACGTGTACGAAAGAAGAAAGGAGCATGGTTTTTATTTTAAGATCAAACAGCTGAGATAATTTAGGCATTTCGATGCTGCTCCACCTTGAAACTACTTCCGTCATAATTTATGGAACCAGAAGCAGCTGAAACCATTTGGTAATATTTCTCCGGATCAAATGCAATAGTTTAAATGTTCTTGAACCTTTATAATTCGCGAGAAATCTTAGTCTCAGCGTTAACTAATTTAAACCCAGATCCAAATGAATAATTAAACGGCTCATCGGAAGTTTGTGTAAATCAAACGAAACCGCTACGTTTATTGATATTTTAATCCATGAATTATTCATGGAGATACATCTACAGAATGAAACGATCGATCAAAATTTAAAGCTAGATTAGAATGTTTTAAATTTGAATATTGGCACTTTAGATATCTGTACCAATTGCAAGTGTAGAAAGGTTGAATGAAACACCGTTTAATTTATGTAAGTATGTAACCAGTGGTGCAAGCGGATAGTAACCTCTTGTAGAAAAAAAAAATACATCGGAAATATGCAGTAAAATGATTTCTTTCTCACGCATAATTTAATCGACTGTGGTTCTACATCATAGATTTCGCTTTAAAATATATTCACAGCCTGTACACTCATGTCAGAAAAACGTTAATTTTATTATGTTAAAAATGGCAAAAAATACCTCTACAAATAACACTGCTGTCTGTTTGCGTCAACACGTAACAAATGCATATTAATCAAATTTTTTACATCGATTTTCCATCGAAATAAACGTGTATGTTTGTTGTGAAACCCATCCACAAGTTATGAAAATGATCGAATCATTTAAAAAGTTCATCATATATGAGAATACTTGTTTAACTATTTATTCTACTGTATGTCACTGATGATCTTAGCAATTGATCGATAAAACTTCCAGAATAATTGAATAATCAAAAACAAAAAACGAAAACTTGGTTAGATGATGTTGACGTTTCGATCAGTAGAGGTTTTCAAATTACAACTCGTTGGCGTAATAGTGAACGGAGAAGCTGAGTTTTCTTCCTTTTAATCGCGTTTTACTTTCTGCCTTGGTTTTGTGGACGAAGGGCGCGACCGTAACCGTGAATGAAACCAATTCGAGTGGCAAAAACAGACTTTGGAACGAACTGGTACCTGGTAGCTGTGGATTCCAGTTTCCGAACCAAACGTAACAAATAATTTCATCTGGTCCGACTACATTTTTACGTGTACACTTTCCAATAAAAAATATTAAATCACATATTGTTTTTCATCGCAATCCATCCATGCACTTTCAAAATTTCAGATATATCCTTTTAATGCATTTCGGTTAAGGAATTTTTATAGGCAATTTAAAAAGTCTTCGTTTACTTTTTTTTTTACAAGATTAGTGCATTTTATGGTAGTAGTATCTTTTTGCTTCGATATCATCTTCAATTCCAATAGAAAGGTTTAGATGTTCTGTTATTTGTAAATTACCATTTATATGTATACGAATCACTGCGAGCAATCGGTTAAACGTGGCACACGTTGAACTAATTAAACTTTGAATAAATTTCACGGTAAGCAGCTAATTAAGCATCGGAAGTACCGTAATTCACGTATTCGTTTGCACAAAATCAGCAATTGTTTGCTTGCAATAATTATAATTTGTTGTTTTACTAATACACGAAAGGAACGTTTAGAAAATTTGGGAATAATAAAAAATATACAGAGGTAATAAATCGTATCATCATCTTCCTTTAACTGTAAAAGCTCAGGATGAATCATTACAAAATGACTGAACGAGAAGAAAAAAGTGAAAGAAACGAAGGAATCCCCAAACGTCAAGCAATAATTTAAGGAAAGAATCATTCAAAATCAGCATTCGTTAAAGTCGTGTTCGATATTATGCAAAATTTTGCGGATTCAGCATCGTTAACGTTTGAACGGGCGAACGCTGTCGTTCCATTTTATTTGTAAGAATTAAAACAATTGTGCAACGTGATAAGAATACAAATTCTTTGTGCAAATGCAAAAATATTTTCTGTTGCCGCGCGAAACAAATTATTTGTAATTGTGCTTCGCTCTTTTATTATTTACTAAATTTGAAGAATTTTCTCTTCGATCGTTTTGTTGGAAGAATATTTATCCGATGATTCGAGATGCGTTTAGCAAGACTCGATTCATTATTCAGCATGTAATTACTATTTTGCAATGTACACAACGCCGATGCATCGAATTTCGAAAGCTGATTGTCTCGAAACGAGTAGACGATTGGCCACTGATAAAACTTCTTACCAAGTCAAATACAAGCTCCCACTTTATCATACCCTTTTCTTTTAAATACTGTAATTAAAAGTGTTTATAGAATTTGACTTTTGCAATTTTACCAATGGTAATACGACAGAATGTATGTTTAATTATTAGTGTTTTAATATGTCTTATTACACACGTCCGTTGACACTGTGGTATTTAACGTGTTAATAGAATTATGTTTGAAAGTTTCGTTAAACATACGGTGTAAAATTATGAATTTTTAAACTGTAATTAGTATGTGTTTTAACAGATCGAAATGAGATGCGAATGAATTTTCTTTCAACATATCAGTTACTAAATTAACGAAAGTTAAAATGAAACTCACCCTTATCCTGAAGAAATTGTCGAAAAATCAGCGAAAGCTCCTCTTTAACAGGTTGTCCCGTTCAAAGGAATGGCGGCGTTGAATTCACCCTTCGCTCTATTGCTTTCGATGCACCTCTACGAACGACTGTTCCTTCCGTTGCTCGATGGACGAATACTGGTTCTTGAATGGAACCAGGGGGAAAAATCGCGATCTTGTTGCTCGGATTGAAGGATGTGGAAGGAAGAAACGATCGTAGCGGGTTGTTGCTACCGAGCGATAAGCAAGGTGTATCCGAACAGGAGGATGCTAACTGACCACTGCGAGTTAACCACAACTAGTCAGGTTGTCTGACTAACAAACGAACGTCACGTACGTTGGCAAGGTTCCTCTCTTTCCCTTTTAACTCGACTACGAACGATATTCCTCCACCGTCTGACGATACAAAGCCGTGGAGCCGTAGCCTTATATCCCTTCCAGGTAGGCTGATTCGCGATTACGCTGGACGATGGAGCCGATGTAAGATGATGTCGAAGCGAAACCAAGCTGGCTTCTTCTTCGTCTCTCCTCACCTCCCCTTGCTTCTTGTCTGCGTCAGTATTTTCGACTGATTTCAAGCTCGATCGTCAGCCGTTTTCTTCTTTCAATAATAATAATTAGTCGTCGTCACCCATCCTCTTTTTACTCGGCTTTCCATCGTATTTCGTTCTTATACCGTCTACACAATCCGGCAGGTACCACGGAATTCTGAATATCCTGACATATTTTTCAAAGGGTTAATAACTGCTAAATAATACTGTAATATACGGCAAATTTTGCAGCTGCACACCCAGAAAATAAAGAGAAAGTAAGCAGCTTATAAGAAATCAACACAATTTCTTACATATATGGAATCAATTGTTATGATGTATGAAACCCACTTCTCACTTTAGAAACAATGTAACATTGCATTATAAACGGGATTTAAGCTGCTAATTTATTGCAAACAAATGCAACTCCCACGATACCCAGACTGTTTTCATAATCAATTTTACTTTGCTACATCTATTGAAATGCATTAGTGACAAAGTTGATATGCTGATTACAATAGTAAAAGTGCAAGCATTGCTGCAGACATGTGCAATAATATATGCTATAACGTATCGCATAAGTAATTAATGGAGCAAGCAATTAAATAATAAATTAACTTGGTGTTTAAATTTTTAGAGAGACCCATCTTCCATATTATTGGCAATCCTGTTATGTATCTAATTGAAAATCATCGTATCACTTGATCTATTAAATTCGCTGTTTCATAAAAATCGATGATCACCTCGTAGAGAAATGCAATGTCGAGGAAACGATAATGCGCAAGAATATATGATTTTGCATAAATCTTTACGTATTTACCAGTGGTATTAAATCTTTAACATACTTGTTTCAGGATAATTGAAAGTAGTAAATGAATATTGCAATTTGTGAAAAAGATTAATAGATACGTTTTGAAAGTCTAATATGACGGAAAATTGACGCATTAGTTACAAACAAAAAAAAATAATGGAAAATCAATCGGTAAGTACTGATCGAACGTATGTAATTTTCAATATAAACCTGATAAATTATGCTTTAAAAAGATCTACACTTATAAGGCGGTTAGTTTGCAATAACTAATAAGTGAATTCTAGATATTCAAAATTGCATTTATGAGTTATCCAGCACTCACGAAGTACCTACCAGTAGTTCTAGTAATTGTATGAACGGACCATTCAAGGTTCCACACAGCACTTTTCATAGAATTATTACGACCCTTACATTTAGAAATTATTATACATACCTTGAAGTGTGACGGAAGCAGTATCGGACATCCATCAAACACTTGTCAGTGCCATTGAATAAACGAACCATTCAAGGTTCCATACTCCACTTTTGATTCAAATATTCTGAACTTTGCTTTTAGAAAGTCGCCGTTTACAATTAAGGAAAAAATGGCAGAGTACGTAAACGCACTCATCAAGTAGCTGTCAGTAATTGAAGCAATTAAGTAAACGAAGCATTCAAGGCTTTGCGTACTACTTTCGATTGGAATACGAATGATGCATTTAGAAGGTACTTGCTGCAATTAAATTCGTAAGCATCCATTGAGTGGTCGTTCATTTTTAATTGTGGTTAAAAAGTCAAATAAAATATATATTAGTACATTAAAGATGTTGAAACTTTCAGTTTGCAGTGCTAAGAAGAATCGCCACTGGTTTAATCAATGAAATTCTCTGACAAAGTGTTTGTATAAATTCCTCGAGTATAAGAAGCTTACTTTAATCGAATAAGTAAATAGTCATTTGAGCAATCGAATACTACGATTCATCTTGCTTTCAGTGCATCCTTGATTATCCAAGGAAAAAGAGATTAGAAAGGAATTTACGTTATAATAGAAAAGTTGTCGACGATAACTATTTATATTCCACGCTTTCCAATCAAGTCGACATAAAGCTGCATCAGTTTAAAAGCGTACAAAGTGAACTTATATATCAATAGCTGGAAGTCTCACATTGCAAAAGATTTATAGACTTTAAAATGTTTGCTGTAACGAAGAGTCATTAAAGAGTAGCGTCACAAATTTAACTTCAATGGAATAATTAATAAGCGAAGAGTGATGAAAATGTCTTCAACGCCAGCGAAGTTACGATAGTAATAATAAAGAGTATTTGCAACCGGAGTCGTTGCAAATTAGCAAACGAGCAAATTAGCAAATGAAGAATAATGAGAAAGTTTTGCAGTTTGCAACAACGCTAACGCAATTAAATGAAAAAATCCTGGAGGATGAGTCTTTGTCTTTCAAAACGATGCTTCGACGACTTTAGCCTCCAGGATTGAATCTATATAAAAATCTCAAGGTTTCTGAACATGGTTGGATTGATCGTGAGTTCTAGAGGATGGAACTAAATGACGACGCATTTTTAAGTTGAAAAAGGAAGAAGATAAAAGACCACCTCGGACTTGGAGGAAAAATCTTCAAGTATCCAGTGATTCCGTTGCGTAGCAACGCGCGACATGTAATTTTTCCCGATTGATTATGCAATTATAGTGAATTACAGGTGGTCGATTACATCCGTTTCGAGGGAGTTGAAGTATCTGCAGAGGTACACTTGAAAGTTTGCCGCGTGAAGGACTCGCGAAGGACTTTGTAACTGGGTACGCTTTTATTGCGAGTAACCTACCGCCTTTGGGATGAATTTTATGTTCGTGAAAGAATGCAAAGCCGCAAAAAATCGATTGCAGTTTCTTGTCATTTTCTTTCGAGACCTGATTTCAACTGCACAAAAGAGAGAAACGAGGCAAGGGTATATATCTGTCTCGCAAACAAAATAGTAGGAGAGATATGTACGCAACTGCAAAATTATACTCAACATAAGTACAGGGTGTTTCAAGAAATTTATGGTAAATTTGACAAAGCAAGAATGGAGCGATAACTTTGGCTTAAAATGAAAAGTATACTTTTGAAATAGACGACATTTGGTAAGTTTAAGAAACTTTGACTGTTGTAATAACTAAAACCAATCTCGAAACTTTGAACACGTTTTCCTCGAGACTGTTGGCAGAGTTGGTGGTAAATGTTTCTCGGACACCGTTTGCCTTGAAATTTTCACAACTCTTTCAAAAGAGATGTATCTACCCTTAAAACTTTTCAAAAATGAAAATATATTAAGATGTTTCTTTTTTTTCTTAAAAGGTGCTTAATGAACTCGTTCGAAACGGTATCCTGTAATTTTTCTGCACGAATAGGTTAATTGCCCGCCCTAGATAGCATTCATAACGTCGGCTTAAGAATAACCGTAGGGTAGCCTTGAAAAGTAGCAAGGTTAAAGTTGACGTACAACGTCAAAAGGTGTAATCTCCTTTGAGAGGAACGATAAATAATTTACTTCCAGAGATTGATTTAATAACGAATGTATCAGGTTGTCTCCTATGTCTCTACTGGAATATTAGACTTATCCTTTACCACGTGTCATCTTGGTCCACCTGGAATATGTCCTTCATAATATGCAAAATTGTTCTGTTCTAATGAAGGTTTGAAGGTCAATTTCATTTTTTTATAGTAGAATGTCATGTGTTCATACATTCAAGGCTATATATGATGATGAAATAAATATTCTTATATTCGCTATTCTTTAGCCCACCCTGTAGAAGGATCCCTAATAGCGCGATCTATTAACGCGTAAAAGCCCATTAAAATCAAAGCTCTCCTTATCAATGGAGCAATCACTGTCCAGACCACTCTACTTTACAATATCCTGAAATAAAATCACTAAACTTCATTTCTAAATAATTTCAATGAAGGTCGAAGGAGAAAAAGAGCTAACGATTCGAGTAATCATCATCATCATCATCCTCGCAAGAGGAATAGATAAAAACGCGGTGGTTGACGGGTTGCAGGGTATTATGGGCAGCGGTAATACCGCGAGGTGGCGCCATCTAGCTGCAGAAATAACTGCAAGAGTGGCTAGCAGTTCGCAGGCGCATTTCCCGATGCATTCTCTGATTTCAGCCGGACCGAGAAGCGTCATTCCTTCCCCGTGATCCGTCGACGGTAGAACCACTCTTTCTTCTCTTCGCACACCCTTTCTCGTCCTTTTTCCTCGTCGAGTGATACGTGTGCGGTTGCTTACCAAACGGCAGTCATCATCTTTGTAACAGCAACAAGCTTCTTCGATTTAGTTTTCTTCTTTCCTATCCTTCTGTCTCGCTCCGTCTCATTCCTTTCCCCACTCTTCAAGTTCCCCTTCCGTTGGTCGACGTTGACCGATAAGCGAAGCGTTCCACTGTCAGGGTCGAAGAAAGAAGAGGTCGGGGTCCGTGCCAGCTGTTCGCGAGCTCGTGTCCGCTATTCAACCCGTTCTTGAACTTCGTTCTTCTTGGTCCCTGATCATCCACGGACGACACAGTGTCTGGGACACAGTGTCTGTTCACCATGTCGCTCATCACCGGCTGCTTCCGACGACTGACCGAGGCGCCAACCAGAACCGAGGTAAACAAGAAGACTTGTGCGTTTGATATTGTCCTCGGTGTTCTTCAGACTATCTGGTATTACTGCTTATCTGCATGCGGCTGATTCACAATGAGATATTGTTATGAAACGAATGTTTGATACTTGGTAGATGGTACCAGACTCGTAAGCTGCGTAAGCAGAATAAAACGCCATAACGATGTTTTCATCGTCATTAATTCGATTACAGATGTTTATGTGTTAATCAAATTAGATAAATTCATCAGATAGCGTCAGACAACTGTCAAAACACAGATACCCGCAGAAGACATTAATCATTGTCGCATGCATGAAACGCATATATGTCTTTGTCTCTGGTTAATACCTAGCCATTGTATTTTTTACTTGTACTCTGGTCGCTTGAACAAAATCTCGAGCTTGTCAGTTAGCGAAAAATAAAAATGGAAAAAAATCAAGGACCACGTTACTCGAGTGCAGCAGTGTTTTTGTAAGCTCAGGGTCGAATTTATACGCGACCGGATGCCGGTTGACACGCGAGAGAAGCGTTTTATCCATGGAACTTCGACTTTCGATTGGTGTTTGCTTTGCCGAGTGACCGCGATTAAACGTCGTTGAATGCGATGTGGGTCATCGAAATAAACTGTGACACGAGCCTATCCGCTTCCGTGCGACCTTGAACGGTATCACTTCACAATGAAACTTTTTTAGGCTTTAACTCTTTCTTCACGATCGTGTAGCTTAGATAAATTCTTGTTATCTCTATTGTCACGGCGAACAAATGCTGTCAACATTTACTTATGCAAAATTATTCCATTCTGGATTCCAAAGCTTTGCTGATCCCTCCGATATTAGCACGTGTGACAACTTAGTAATCAGATTCGATCACGTTCGTGTCGATTCATTTCAATGATTCATTCGGGAAACATTATCCCGAGATCCGTGCTGGATTTCCATGAAATTCATTAACCTTTCCATTAGTCCTTTCATGGTTGATCTATGCAAAACTTGAAGCTTAACTTTTTGTTTGACAATCGAGAAGCTAATATTCTATCGCGACGCAATGAATTTCGTTTAACGAATAAAAAATGTAACTGATTAAAGTTTAAGCGAGCTGTTTATCATTGTTTGCAGTTGAAAGGGTACAAGGTAACGGACGTGAACCGTACACGAAAATTCGGCGTCGCCTGTAGGAGCCTTCAGGAGCTGAAACGGAAAGCCTGCGCTAAATTAAACGTGAGTATCGCGCACTGATTAACGCCCGCAGCGTTTATTTAATCGACGTATCGTCCGATTCGGGAGATAATAGAGTGAGAGAGACAGATAAGTCGTTGGATGAAAACCGCATCGAGGCTCCACGAGGCTTTTACATGTCATAATAAAAGTTGCCGGCTGAAACTGGGTCATAAAAGCCTCGCAGCTTATCCACAGAGCCGCTTCTGGAAAATTGTAACACGTCCTTTTCTCTCACGAGTTCGGGATTTCGTTACCAACGTGTTTAAAGCGGGCCAAACTCGTTCCACCGGCGGAATTGTTAAAAAAAAAAAAATTTATTCTTTCATCAAAATCGACCTACTTTAACAGGCGGCGTATTAAATTTATTTTTCAGATCCTCGTGTCATCAATATTGATAGCGAAAAGCAGAGCTCAAAGCGGAGCTTAGTGAAATAGACTTTAAAGCTTTCTACTTTAGAACTTGAAAGTTTAAACATCCGATAGATTATTTCGCGTGTTGTAAGAAAATCGTAAATGGAAGGCCCTAAAAGAATAATGCCGGCTAAATGAACTTGAAAAGTTTTATAATCTTCCGAACTTCGATATTCTCCAACTTCCCCTCCTATCAGTACTTGCTAAACGTTGTTATCAAAGTTCCGAAAATCAGTCAACAACTCGCGTTTCTTCGGCAGCAAACTTATAGACCGAGGGAGAAGAATCCTTGAACCTCGGTTCGTCCCTAAAGAGACTCTATCGCGTAACGGAGATCGCGATAGCGGAAGCGTAGTTAGACCCGTTAAACTAATTAACTTGAGAAGAGGACAGAGAGGATTAAGGTTGAGAGGAGCGTTTGGTGGCTAGGTTAATCCGGTTGCGGCTCGACCTTGTTGCTGGATCGCGTTCGCCTGCAGCGTGCAGCTCTATCGAACCAGCCGGGCCACGGGCAAGGAGCAGATTCAATGTCAAGGTCCTCCGGATCCCATCACTCGAGCCAAGATTTTTCTTCCGTTTCCGCTTTCCTCGTTCGATGCTTGCCAGTTGGACGACTGGATCTTCGAGTAAACTGGCTGAAAAAGTGCAATTCTGAGACGCGCCTCATCGATTGCACGTGGTGTTGTAGCTTTTGTGTACCAAGGCTGATTCCGGCAATCGAGGTCGCACGTGGTACTATTTTTTTTTCTCGTGCTAGAGGATCTTGGAACTTTTACACATCTTCGAGTCTATATTTGCCTAACTATGGCAAATTGTTTGCTTTCAATAAATTCGTTAAACATTCTTCAATAATTGGTGATGTTATTTGAGTATCAAATAACCAATGAACTGTAGATGATGTAAATACCATGGAACATAGTCCAGCGATGTTACATCATCGCTTTAGGAATGAAATAAAGAACAGAAAGGTAAGGCCTTTTTTATTCTCAGGTGACGAACGATCTTGCCGAAGTCAACGTTTTCCTGTTGGACGGTTCACTGATCGACGAAGAGTACTTTTCCACGCTCGAACCTCAGACAACGATCATTATACAGAAGCCTGGTGAGAAGGTTTTAACAGGTTAGTGTTCTTCATCGATCACTTTCTCGACGAACTGAAATATACTAAGAGAACAAAGAATTCTGCAATTATTTCTGAAAACAATAAATCGCTTGATGTTTATAAAAATCTGCGATTGTAAAGCTGCATAGATTCTTGAAATTCAGTCTTTGTTTGCAGACGCGGACCTGCTGTACGATACCTTGAGGCGAGTCAACATCGATTTCCTGACTGCCGGTATCAAGGCGTCCGAGTTCCTCACAGAGCACCTTAAAACCAAGGTCGCTATTCTAAATAACGCGTTGAACAAAGACGACTCGAAGACGACGTTCAGCACGAGGGACGAGCATCCGGAATGGTTCCGTGGCTTGGAAACCAACTGTACAACCAAAGTGAGTCCTCAATTTTATCTAATTCTCCGCCAACAAAACCAAGGTACAGGTTGGTTTAGCTCGAATAACCAGTGGGCAGCTTGATATAGCGACAGAGCTTGTACTTTGTATTATAATGAACAATAACGGCAATTCTATTGGCGATTTGCCGAAAACAGTAACTCTGTTCCACGCTGATTACGAACCAATGACAATAGAATATTGACAATAGAATCTACTGACCTATTTCGATCAACTGCTATTCGATATTCGTTGCGTGAAAGCCTTTCCAAAAATCTCCTTCGACCCATTAACGGAAGTATCATTTTACAGGAAGCGTATATGCATCGCAAGTGTCAAGACAGGGTACGCGGCTACCTTTACAAAACGATCGATCAGATCAAATCATCGGAGACGTTTGCAAAGGATCCTCGAGCCAGGAAACAGCTGTTGTACGCGATAGCTTTCTTTAAAATGCAGTTGAAAGAGGACCACTATTTTGGCCACTATTTCGATAGAACTCGAGCTAAGATGGAGTCATTGAATAGTGTTGACGAAAGTGATTCCTCGGTTTGCTACGATCATTGTCCCTGTAGGCTGAGCTGTTTGGACGGCAGCACGTACTTCCGTTTATTCGGAACAATGAATCAATCCTGCGTGGATGGCGCGAGAAAGAAGGGCACGCAAACGGATTCAATATCCGACGAGGAACAGGAAGCGGAGAACAATTATCCTTACACTGTTAAAAGGAATGACAGGGTGTCTTGTGTAGCGATGTGCGATCACAAGGGTGAATTTAGGTGCTGCGGTATTTGGAATGCGGAGAAGTGTTCGTACGGGGACAGGCACAAAATCAACCCTTACAGATCGAGGGAAGAGCTTATACTGTTTTCTACGTGGAATTTCGATCATAAGTAAGTCTATCTTCCTATATATTTACGTATTCAGTTAAAATAAATGAAAGTCTGATGAAATTCCTTGGAATTTTTTAGGATCGAGAGATCGAGAACCTTGATACCGATGCTTTTGAAGTTGTCATCGCAAGGAATAGCCAACGAAACGGACATCCTCGATATTTATGACAATCTTTTCACTCTAAAGAATTTGAGGCTGGTGCACATCGTGTGCCACGATAAGGGCTCGCACAAATAATTTAATCTAATACCAGGCTAATTTGTTGGGAAGGTGATCAAATACGTAGAACGAGCTCTGAACGTAAATCTAATTGTTCGTATGAAAACGCACCTACCTACTTGTAAACTGCTGTTAATAGTTGATAGATTTAAACGTTTATTAATGTCGTATCCGATCGTAATTCCGTTGCGCCGCAAAAATCACAAGCAATAACGATCGACGAACTATTTTCTTCTGGCTGGTAGATCGTAAGTCATCTTTCCTAGACTACAATATTGAGACTTAATAACGATACTGCACTAATGATTTTTTATACGTTTATCTTATTAACGATAAATCTGACTATATGCACCGTAACAGTGAATGTAAAGTAAAAAGATCACACGAACTTCTCGATCTGTTGTTACACTCTTGGTAAGAATGGTAGCCGTTGATAATGTAAACACAGACTTTTAGAGAATCATAAACGACAACTTTTTTAACACATTTTTAACGACTTCTTTACGTATAACTATCGATATTGTAAACTTTCTATCGAAATCTCGCTGAGTACAGCGAAACGATGTTTATTCTTCTTCGTGCACAAACAAAAAGGGGACCTCCCTCGCGAGGGAGCCTTGATTTATCGTACAGGGTTGGGCGCAATGGAATAATCACGGATCTAAAGAGAATTTATTGAAACGAGTCGAATATGCTCGTTGAAAGGACTGTTGCTTAATTGCTTGGAATTTTGCAAGAAACTGATCTGAAATCAAAAAGACAGTCCTCACTTTTGGACGGGTTAGAGATTATCTTTAGAAAGTGTACTCTCTAGGATTCGAGTATCTTTCGAATATTTTTCATTCGACTGGTCGATCAATGACAAAACCGAAGTTCTGATATACATATACATATATTATACATATTCGTTACTAAATTTAGAAGATATATATATATATATATATATACTACATTGTACATCACAGATCAATACTTAACACTAAAAGGGTAGCAATAATGTTACAATAAATTTTTTGCTGTAATTTGGCAAATAAATAAAATACATTTCAGAAAACAATTTGTTTGCCCTAAACAATTTAAATATTATAAATATGGCCAGGATATTGAATATTGATCTGTGATATACAACTGGTTCATCCTATACACGTATACATACGAAATATGAATATGAAAAATGATAAAAACATTTTAGAGTCCTGTGTGATATACCCGAAGCGGTGCTTCTTCCGGACAAATAAAAAGCACGAGGCAAATCAAACGGAAGGACTCGATTCGAATTGTATCTTTTTGATAATTCTTCTTTTGATATGATTTCCACTACTTGTTTCATCAGGAAACAAAAGTATCGTCAATTCGAATCACTCTTTTTATAACATCCGAATCGATGACGATGATAAATAACGGGGAATAATTACGGCTAATGATTTAGTGAATTTCAGTTGAAATATCGCCAGGGTTCTGTTCGACGTTTGGTTGGTGCGATTTCTTCGTCACGAACGTGTCGAAAATTGCTGGGTTGTAGATTTCTTTGTACACGCGAACAAGTCGTTTCTTGTCTTTGACGAGTCGTCGAAGTTGCTGGTATTTCGTATACAAAGTAAATATGTATGTAGTATGCAAGATTTTCGTGCTTTAGTTTGCAAGCTTTGTTACATTTTTTTTTTCAAAGAAAGTAACATGAAATTGTTCGAGTGAAACAGTGGAATCAATAATTTCACAAAGAATATTAGTTTCGTTTCAAAATTTTCAGTATACTCCACGGAAAAACCTCAGAGCTTTATTGATTTTTAATGCTCAGTTCGAAGTTACTTTAATTAAATAAAGTTAGTTAACTCTAACAACTCGAAGCACTCGTAAATAAAATTCGCTCGTGTGTCGAAAAGTAATATATATTATAAGGGTGTCTTTGAAATGGGGTTACAACATTTATAAACGTTTTTTACATCTGAAAGTTAAAAAAGGTTTTGAAACTACCGCTTTTACCTTCCATGGATGGAAAAAAACTTCAGTAAACGTCATGATAACCATTCAAAGATACTCTGCATATTATCGTGATAAGCTCGAACCAAAACAGAAAAGAATATTTTTGTGGAAAATATCGCGTACAAAGAAACCTGATAATGTATCTCGATCGACGCGGCACGCAAAGTAAAATTTAAGAAAAAATAAATTGCAATACATCTTCGTAGGCTACATATAAGCATACTTATTTTTCAATGTAAAACGACTGTGTAGCACTACTCTAGGCAAATATACATCTATTTTAGGTACGAGAGATTGAGAGAGAAAGAGAGAGGAGATGGAAGAGAACCGAAAAAAGGAGTCTTCTATAATTTCTTTTGTTCCATCCCAGTTATTTCCTTCGCACAGCTACTAATTGCGTCCAAATAATTACCTACTGGTGCATTTCACCCTTTAATGATCATATTTTTCTTTCTCTTTTTCGGGTAATTATTTTCCGAGTGTACAATTTATTTATTGCAAGTGCTCTCATTTGTATTTCTCCTTTCAGCCATACATGGTATTTCAATTTTCGAAACATCCATCATATTCGCGTTATCGTATACACCGGTTGTTTCGATGTTTAATAAATGCAATTGTAAAATTTCGGAAAAGAGCAAACACGCGGGCTCGAGCGTCGATTGACCGGAAATATTCACTCGAATGGATATCGAGAGATAGAAAAATTCGAAATTTACAAGCGACAAATATTCCGTTGTAACGGTGCTCCCATTTTTGTATACGGTCACGTTCACAGGAATTTCCATGCGAGCGATAATTAAACGGGCAAGCAATTGTTCCGTGGGAAATTTATATTTCGAGGCGAACGAATTCGAGAAACAATGTAATTTCATTAATGCGCAGGAAAATACCTACTCTCGCGAGATTAAACCAGCTGAATTTCATATTTTTCTCCAATGGACGAATTCAAATAGCCGTTTCTGCTCGTTTCCCGCTCTGATCCGGTTATCCCATCGAAATATATACAGACAAGGGCGTAACTCAATTACAGGCGGTTAATTACGAGGGCAATTAAAGAAGCGATTACAAGCTAAGAACCGTCCGAGCCAGTGTCGTTTAATTTAATTGCGCTTCTAAGCTTGCCGCGTCCTTTCTCTCCTTTCTCTCCTTCCTTCGTCCTTGCTCGCGAAAACTTTTCGCCAACGTCCTAGCGAAGCCTCTATTAACATCGATATCGTTCAAGTTTCGAGCCGTCGTTATTATTTTACTGCCTCGAACCTCTCGAGTTTCGCGCTTTTTTCCATTCGTCGCGTTCATCGTTAACCTGATAATAATTAATCGTTACAGATTGCATCGCGATGTTCTTTAGCCAGCATTAGTCTCAATATCGGCGGTAAATGGAGTAACGCGAACGTTGTTTCCTTTTTGTCGAAATATCCGGAGCTTTTGCGGATCATTGGCTACTCTTGGAAAATCGAATCACGTCGACGCCATTTCGACGACAGACGTGTTCTTTTGCGCAACGAAGCGGCACGATAATGGGTCAATTTCGAATTCACTGAGCAACCTGAATGAAGCTCCAACTTGGTCGGATTCCACTTCTCTTCACCCCTGACGACCGAAGTTATTTTCAGTCTCTTTCTATGCGGTTTATACTGCGCCAAACTGACCCATCAACGTTTGATTTCGAAATAAAATATAGAATTGAACAGTTCGAATATTTGTAAATAACAAGAAAGTTTGCGGGACACCCAGAGATAATGTTTCAATAAAGATATTCAAGAAATATTGGATAACCGAACCATGGGGTAGATTTAACGAAGTTTAATCAAGATTCATCTAAAAAGAAAATAAAATGAAGAAGGTTCCGCTGTTTGAACGGCCAAAATGTAACTGTCAGCTGTCGAATTCATCTGCGATCAGTGGACCACCCAGTATTCGTTTCGACGATCCTAACGAGAATAAATTTTCGTTTCACGTGCCGCTGAGTTTTCGCGGCTGAGCGATCCTCCATGGGTGACCCTGGGGGGCGAAAATTACCCCGCAATATGTTGCCAATCGTAACCAGTAGAAAATCGATAGAAGAAGGGCCGGTTCGAACTGCTTGCCCTTCGAAAATTACAGATTTACCGCCCTTCTATTAAACGTTCAAGTGGCACGCGTTCTGCTTCGGATATTACCTCAGCTAATATCGAGTATAAGTAATTTTATTAGCCGCAAGGTGGAATTTAAAAAATTAAATTGCAAACTGCAAGTGCTTGTAAATAAAACTTGTAAAAACGAAGTGGACAGGAATAGAGGAGCGGCGTTTGAAAGTAGTCGATATTCCACGGTCCACGTGAATTATTATTTCACGCGGGCGTCGTTATGGAAGTCTTTCATTGTTTCGAAAACGAAACATTTCGCGTTCAAGTGGCGTTGCCACACTCGAGTGCGTGCATCGTGTTCCAAAACTTCGATATTCAACACCCCGTACACGAAAAATACATCTATGATCCTCGAGTAATTCGCGATAGTCGCCAGTGACACCAAAAAATAACCCTTTTCGGTTCTACGAATATTACAAGGCCGCCCTTCAGATGAATTTTATCAAACAATTGTTCAACGGCCAAAGAAATTGCATAGCAACAACTAATTGTAAGATTAAGAAGAAGGAAAGGCAAAAAGGAAAAGGAAGTAAGGAGACGGAATTCGTACCGGTTTTCCAACACCCTCGTTCACCTCCAACAACCCTAGCGACTTTACTGCCGGCACTAATCACTTCCCTGCGAAACGATTTACTGATTTATCGTTTAATTTCGCGACGATGGCCTCTCGATGCCTCGACTGGGTGCCGTGCACCACGCTGCGCGTGCTACTACTACTACATGCATAAAACTTTCGAAATTCGAGATCCGCTCGGCAAGAAGTGACACAGAGCAGGCTAAGTGAGAGAGGAATTTTCGTTTCCCCCAGGATTAACGATCCACCTACCAGCACCGTCGCGTCGCCTCGCCTCGTTTCGGTATTGTTCCTCAGCTCCAACTGAATTAACACCACATTTCAAACATTTCACTTTTCCAATTAGAAAAATACCTATACAATGAAGAATCGTTAAGAACTAAAAGTTATAGCAATTTTTCTACGTTACCAGGCCAGCTAAACAGCCAAAAAAGGCTAATGCTCGGGTTCTATGAGGAATGCTAGGGTCTCCTGTATACCTGAACCAGCAATAATTCAACACCTTGAGCGGCGGCATACCTTTCGGAAGCTCCTTTCGGAAAAAACTGGCAACAGTATCGACGGTCTGTTTCACAGACTAGAGAGGAGAGATTCGTTTTTCCCCTGAGAACAGGTACGGTGCACTCTTTGCCTCGAAATACAAAAGCTGTCTGATCGTGCGATCAGGTGAACCGGTCGTTTGGTGAAAATTTGTATCCGCTGTTATTCACGCGCTTCACTATAGTATCAGTTTTCCAAATTTCTTTCATCGTATCTTCTTTGGTGAAATACACTCGTGGACAATCGTCGAAGTTTCTACAAAATTTCATCGAGAACTGACATTTTCTCACGGATGTTCACGCTTTACCGACAGGATGTTTTCAGACATTTTATTATCAAAAGATTCTTCGGTGATTAGAATTCGCAGGTAAACTCTCGATCCCAATGCAACTTTACTCTCGATTCTTCATCCTTCTTTCACCCTTTTCTTCGCTCTATCTTTTCCATTCTTCTCTTTTTCCAACTTTTATCTTTCGTTCCATCCGATTCTACCTTTTGTCCCCAGGCAGCAGCTTTGTTCTCTTCCGAGCACGCAGTTGCACCGATATCAAATCGCACGGATAGTCAATTATAAGGGATTCAGCTGGTCGCAATTACGATTCAAACGTCTTATTGCACCGCATTAGCCCCGACGTATAATTCAGAAGTAATTTCCTTGTTCTATTCCTTTCGCAATCGCGTGTACCGTGTTTGGTAATTTCGGAGCTTAACGTTTCGTAATGTATAGGTACCTTGAAATTTTCGTTCCTCGACAAAACGTTTTTCGTAAAAACGGAAAGATGAATTGAAACGCTTTCAATATTTCGAGCGTATTTACCATCGTAGCCCATGAATCTTCGATTGTTCCGACTGTCATAATAAAATCCTTGTCCCTTCTGGTCCGTGTAGCCTCGATTAATAACCAAACTGTCATATTTGCATCCGGACGAGCGCCTTTGACCGGCTCGGTTTTATTACGTATACCTCGATGATTATTTAAAAGCGGTAATACCTGCGAATGCTGCCTGTCATTCCCGTTAATTCTTCAAAGCGATGCGACACGAACGAGAATATACAGATAGAAATAGAGAGAGAGAGAGAGAGCCCAGATTCGGACGATGAAAAATTCAGCAAACTGGCCGTACCATCGGGGCTTCAGCGACATCCTGAACGGAGAATAATAAATTTCTGATAGAGGAAGTGTATTCTCGTGCCAACGCGAATTCAACCTACCTGCACACAAGCATTTTATTTGTTCCATTCGAATTCCAATTGCTAGTCCCTTTTTCACGCGTTCTGTAGGCAGACAAATATTCGGCCGATCGAATTGCCGAATCGAGATTTCAACCCGAATCATCTATCTCCGATCTTTTACTAAACGTTTCATCTTCCTACAATTTCAGATTTTTCATAATTCTATAAATTAACTCTAACAGATTTCTTTAAGCTTCAGTTCTTATATTTTAAACAAGTTATTTCATTTGATTTCACGATTATTCTGCGAAGAATAAATCAAATACGAGAGAAAAACAGAATTTTATAATACAATAATACGTATATAAAATGTGATCAGCATGATGGATTTCATTTTTCGTTATAAATATCTATCAGGCAATGATATCGTTAATACGATGCATAACAAGCGCGATTATAACAGACAAGCACTCGATGATGATTGATACACGATCGATACCGTATGGCTTCGATGTGAATAAATCACAGCTATTTCTGAACGTTCGCGAGATTCATTGGATATTACGAAGTGCAAAAGCATGCACTCCAACGAATTCGATGAAGCGTACTGTGAAAAGTGTATTTGCTGTAATCCGTTGTACGCGTGGTAGTACGAACCTTGATTTCTCGAATGGATTAAACGAGAATTCGACTGTAATTTGAAAACAGCGCGAAATTGTATATATACAGGACGACAGGAAAATAGGTGATTGAATTTCTCTACTTTAAACGTTCCACCTGCTAATAGTATTTCAACGAAAGTTAGTTGCTACGGTTTCGAGGAAATTAAAAAGACGGGTGAAAATTGAACGACGGTAGCCGGTGGGCACGATCGAGGAAAATTCATCGGGAAAGTAGGACGTTTGCGAGAAAAGT